CTGATGGTTCCACAGCCCACACCTCCTGATGACCTCTCCCAGCAGTTTCATGTAGATGTTGAATAGCAAGGGGGACAAAATGGACCCCTGCGGTACTCCATGGCAAAGTTGCCAAGGCGCAGAGCCATAGTTCCCCAGCACCACCTTCTGGAATCGGCCATTGAGATAGGAGCCGAACCACCGCAGAGGAGTGCCTCCAACTCCCAATCCCGCTAGTCTATCCAGAAGGGTACCATGGTCGATGGTATCGAAAGCCGCTGAGGTCCAGGAGGACCAACAGGGGCGCACTCCCCATCTCTCTCCCTGCACAGGTCATCATACAGGGCGACCAAGGCAGATTCAGTACCATACCTGGGTCTGAAGCTGGACTGAAATGGATCCAGATAATCAGTCTCATCCAAGAGAGTTTGGAGTTGTCCCGCCACCACCCGTTCCAACACCTTGCCCAGAAATGGGATGTTGGCCACCAGTCTATAATTGGCAGCCACCTCTGGATCCAGGGATGCCTTCTTTAGGACCGGCCTGACTACTGCCTCCTTTAGAGGAGCAGGCACCCGGCCGTCCCTCAGAGAGGCGTTAATGACCTCCAGGATTCAGGCGCCAATCGTGGCTTTGGTCAGTAGCCACGATGGGCAAGGGTCAAGTAAACAGGTGGTGGGACATACTTGTCCAAGCACCTTGTCCACATCATCAGGCCGCTATAACTGAAATGCATCCAATAATATCTGACCAGGAGACATTGGCACCTCCCCTAGAGGATCTGAATCACTAGTGGAGTCCAGCTCGTGACGAATCTGAGTGATTTTCTCCTTAAAGTGCTGGGCAAAGTCATCACAGCGAGCCATCGAGGGTGGTACAGAATCTTTCTTAGGGCCTGGATGTACCAGCCCCTGTACCACCCAAAAGAGCTCCGCTGGATGGCACTGTGAGGAGGCAATGGAAGTGGAGAAGAATTTCTTCTTTGCCGCCCTCACCACCACAGCATAGGCTCGATAATGAGCTCATAAGTGTTCAGTCAGATTCATCTCGAGATTTCCTCCACCTACGCTCTAGACGTCTGCCAACCCACTTCATCGCCCATAATTCAGGTGTATACCAAGGGGATGAACGGGCTCTGCCGGATGGGAGAGGACTCTTAGGAGCGACCGTGTCAATAGCTCTGGTCATTTCCCCATTCCACAGTTCAATCAGAGCATCAACAGGAGTGCCAGCTTTATCAACCAGAAACTCCCGCAGAGCTTTCAGGAATCCATCCGAATGCATCCGGCTCCGAGGGCGGGCGGACCAACACAATAGGGTCCGCACCCTTATGCAAAACATTTGTGAAACCACAGCCCAGGGAAAACAGCAGCAAGCTGCGACACTGCAGATAATTCTCTGCTAAGACTGCCTTGAAACATAAGCTGCTCTCCGAGTTTTCCTTTGCGCAGAGGTGCAGCACTGCTTCCCAAAGAAATCTCTGATGCCACTTGAGAAACAAGTGGGCATGACCCGCGATCTGAAGAAAAACTCTTGGGGTGCACAAGTATCAACCCCCACAGGGGGCAAAGGAGCAGTGAGCTGAGTCGCAGTGGGAAGCTTCTGGGATCAACTGGAAAAGAAAACCATACCATGGAGGGGGTTTGGGGCTTACAATATACTGGAAGAGGGGGTGGCTGGCTGGAAGGGGCTCTGACGTGAGCAGCGTCCCTGCCGAGGATACAAATAACTCCATTCTGGATTTCAAGCATGACAGAAGTCCATTCCAATGTGACCCCCTAGCATTAGGAAAGTTTTGACAACTCAGTGGGGCAGAAGGTCCGAAGCAGAGCTTGTCTTTCCTGAAATGCAGTGGACTAGAGGAAGTGGGTCTAGGTAAGACCCCAGAGAGGCTTTGTTTCATGGGATGTGCTAGGCAGGGCTCTGACGCAGAATACATCCTGCGATACAATTTGGCGGCACACAAACATTCACATAAACAAACAAACAAATAAATGGGCTGTTAGGAGAATCAAGAGCACCGATGCAAAGGCTGTCATTTTTTTTCCCAGATGTTGCTGGATTACAGCTCCCATCACTCCTGACCTCTGGCCATAGTGGCTAGGGCTGATGGCTTCTGGAGCCTGACAGTTTTACTAGAACTGTTTTAACATCCTTTGTTCAGTCCCGTTAAATGAACACAGGCAGCAGAAGTGGGAAAGAGGTCTTAGAGGTACTGCAGTAGTGGATTAAAAAAGAAGCGAGCTTCAAACTTTAGACTTTGGTCTGCTGTAGCAAAACAAGGGAGTTACACAGATCTCATTTTGCCCTCCCTCCAAAAAGGGCAAGGAAGAAGCGAATTTTCAGGCTGCGCTGTGCCGCCACCTCGTGGGCGCTGGCTGATTTGTAACTGAGAAGGGAGCCCTGCCAGGAAAAAGGTTGCACTCCTTAACAGCCGAGATCTGCAGCGAAAAGGTTGTAGCATAGTTCCACCTCCTAACAGACGAGAACTGCAACGAAGACATTGCAGCACATTTTCACCTTACAAGAAAGCTTCCGATTCCAGCGGGCCAGGTCCTCCTCTGGGGGACTCCATTCCCAACATCACCAGCTTTCTCTTTTCAAACGGACATGCTGTGGCAATCCAGCACCCTGGATTTTACTAGGCTGCTTTCTTCGTTCACACGAGGTTCCAGACACGGTTTCTGTGCTTCTGCAGCCCTCCAGAGATGCGCATCTCAGCATGCCTGTTCTACCCCTAGCAGGCTCGGGCACTTTGCAGCCCTGCAGGGTTTTCTGGGGTGTGCAGCTCCCACCATCCTGCACCGTTGCTGATGCTGGCTGATGGGATATGTAGTCCTAAAGCTAGGGAGGGCCGGAGGCCGCGCAATCTCCATGGCCCCGATTTGGCTGCAATCTGTTAATACTTACCCCACCGGGGTCCCCTGCTGGACGTGCTCGAAAGAACGTGCATTTTCGGCACGCGACCCTGCGCACCTTTCCCCTTCCCAGGAATAGCGCAGGAGCGGGGCGAGGGGGCGGAGCCTGTGGCGGCCGTGGGCGGTGCCACGCCCCCCTCCTGAAATGCATGCGGCGGCGCCGCCGCCCGGGTTTACCTCCTCCCTGGTATTAACACGCAAAACGTATGCGCATAAATTTGCATGCCTAATGAGGCCGGGCGCGCGGCGAGCGGGTCGATGCGTCCAAAATGGCGGAGCGGGGCGGGCGAGGCGGCGGCAGGAACAGCGGCGGGGGCGTCGTCAGCGGCAGCCTGGACAAGAGCATCACCCTCCCGCCGGACGAGATCTTCCGCAACCTGGAGAATGCCAAGCGCTTCGCCATCGACATCGGTGAGCGGGGCCCGGCGGCCGCCGGGGCGGACGCGCCTCTCTCCGTCTCCAGTCAGCGCCGCCGCCACACTCGCTCTGAGGCGGTGAGCGGAGGCGCCGCGCGGGGCACGCCGGGAGATGCAGTCCGCCGTCTCCTCGGCGCCCGTGGCCGCGGAGGGTGCCGCGGACGGCAAGTCCCGGCGTGCCGCGCGGCGAGCTCGGCGACGCGGTGCCCGACGGGAGGCGTAGTTCTCCCGCTCGTTCGCCCCTGCCGCCGGTACCGGCCGAAAGACTACAAAGTCCAGCGTGCTGTGCTGGCTGAGCTGCGTGGGGGGAGAGCGCTGGTATAAACAAGGGTCCTTTAGACACCCTCTCCTGGTTTTGACACCCGGGTCCTTCGGTGGGGGTGCCAGAGAAGGGCCCCCATGTCGGGGCGGGAGGGGGCCCCTGGAGTGACGGGTTGCCCGGGGCAGCCGTGGGGAGCCTGTTTGGGTGGGGGGTTGAGAGGGAGAGCCGGGGAAGGCTCCTGCAGGCCGGCTTGGATTCCTGGCAGGAGGGCTGAAAAATAATAAAATGTATGAGGGGTGATCTGTGAACGACAGGAAGCGGGGGGGGGGTGAGGTTGACCGCTTATGAATTGCCCAGGCTCAGATATGGGGGAGGGGGCGAGAGGGAGAAGACCCCCCGGCAGGCAATGGACACGCACATCAGCTCTCCAATAAATAAATAAATAAGTGGCCCCCATCCTCCTGGATCCAGGCCTGAGATTGCATCCCACACCCCGAAAAAGGTCATAGAATGCATGCAGCCACGTATGATTTGCATATCATGTATGTGTGCTAATTTATATGCCTGGATGCAAATTTCAAAAGGTATGAGTATAAATTAAATAGAAATGCATTGCATCATTGTTCGGGAGGGACTTGAGCATCCCTCTTCCAGTTTGCTGTTGGGGTGCTAAGTGGAGGGGCCAAAGGGCAGCCTTCAAACAGAGGATGGTCCTCCGTAAAAGAGAGCATTGCACTCCCAAGGCCACCACTGTGGGACTTCTCCACCTTGGGAGTGGAAGGTTGGATTGTTGCAGTGCAAATGGAATAGAACCGAGTTCTAACTTTTAGTAGAATAAATAACCCGATAAACATTCGTACAAACCTAGGCTGATTGCTCTACAAATGCATTTTGAAGTAATTGCACTTTGACCCTTTATATATGTGAAGTACTAGCAAGTATTATGATGTATTGCTTTATACCGTACTTTCAGTATTTTGCCCTCCTGTGCAGTCTGGTATTGCTATTAAGACAAGAAGTGTAAACAAAGCACTTCAAAACACCAGGCGCTCTACAAAGTAGCAAGATCCTTTGTTTGCAAGTAATCTGAGTAAAAATAAACTCACACCTTGCTATGATAAAGCTGAACTTGAGATGGTTTAGAAATAAACATACCAAGCACAAAACCTAAGAAGGCAAACAATTCGAAAACAAACACAGAAGTAAAACAATGAAAAAAGCCCAGTAAAATGTACAAATCACATTGGAACAGTGGAACTAAAACCTCATCAAGGCACAATGTTAAAAGCACCTGTACAGCCAGAACAGAGGGACCCACTTAAAAGACGGAGAATGTGGGCTGGGGTGGGAAACCTTTTGGAAGCTAAAGCGTGACGATTCCCATTAATTTCTCATTTAGCATTTGTCCAGTGCTTTCAGCATTCAAGGCTTTGCATACAGGATTATTATTATTGAGTCTTGCACGCAAGTCACTTCAAGCTCCGAAAGTGACCTGCTATTAAAATCATGTTTTTGCAGTGCTCAAAGCAGTTTGCAGATGGTACCTACCATAGGGCAGGGATATCTATGGCTGAGATAATTGGATGGTTTTCCACTGGGTACTGCCGGCCAAGTAACATACTGTGAGCTCTCATACTTCCCAGTGTGAGGTAACGGAAGACATGATGTTGGCTGATGGGCAGCCAACATAACTAGTCTGCCTTCTTCATGATTGCCGCCTACGTCTGTGTATCTCCAAGACCAGAGCTGGTCCAGAGACGTCCCTGTCGGCCTCTTACCAGCGTTGCTAAAAGAAAAGGCAGTTTCCATATTCTCCGTACATCTGTGTGCATCTGTGAATTTGGATAGGAATTAGCTGCACAACTTGTTTCAGGAAAATCATTTGTCGCAAGACATGAACGGAATTAAAATGAACTAGAACTCGCATGTCATCACGTGGCAGTTATGGCTGCAGAGAACTGTTGCTTAGCAAGCTGGAGAAAAGAGGCGTTCAGTGCCTTTCCTGCCCTCCTATTTTTATACCTCTAGTCCACCTTTTGTTTTTTGGAAGAATGCCCAATTGTGGCTCATCAGGGGCAGGTCAAGGCCAGAATCTCAATATCTTTTCCCCCCATGAGCCACTTGTGTTGCAGTGAGACAGGGCTGCTTTTCTCATTTCCTTCGCATTTGTCCGCGTTATAATTCCCTACATTTCAGGCCCGAGGGTCAGACACAGACGAAGTGTCCTTAAGAACTCAGCTTTGCATAGCAGACAGGAAAAATAACTCCCATGTGCTTGTTGAGAGGCTGAGGTGGGATTTCCTCCCTTTCACACCAAGGTGAGGCGTAACTCTTCCACGAGAGAGAGCGAAGGCTTATTACGGCATCGAGCAGAAATGTGGGTTAATGCTCGATTGTGCTCTCTTCACACTGGATCAGACTGGAATTAAAGCCAGGGGATTAGCTCTAAACCTCAGCCGCACACGCATCTTTCAGAGGACATCCAAAATAGTTTCTGAGGGGGAAGGCTTTAAGAGGGAGTTGTGTGAAGTTAAAACATGAAGCCATACTCCAGCAAAGTTCATGTTCACTGGTCTACAGTGTGAGGCCAGTGTCACAATGAATAGGAAAAGGTCATTTTTAAAAAAGCATTCTATTCAGTGTGCTGACACTTACACGGAGTACCCTATTGCCTGTCCCCACAAGGGCATTAAAAAAATCTTCCTGTGGCTAGCCCCTTTTTTCAACAGATGTAATAAGACTGTGCTTGGAGGCCAAAGTTGTCTTCCCTGATTCCATCCTTACAGAAATTTCCATGAAATCTGGGGAAAAGACATCCAGAAAACGTTTTTTGTACTCCCAAGTTTTTCAAAACAAGGCATTTCTAGTCATGCTTGGGATTGTTTTCTATTTGTCTTGATGTTTATTCTGCTCCATTTTGTGGCTCGCTTGTTCAAAGCCCTGTGCAATCCAGGAAGTAGCAAAGCGTGTTCTCTCAGCCTCAGGGGGGTGATGGTTGTAAGCGTGAAAACGTGAAAACGTCTATGAAAAGAACGATGATGGATTTGTGGGGATGAGAAAGAGGTGTGAGAAGTGGTGTTTGAGTAAGCAGATGTTTCTTGTGTTCACACATGCCGTGCAACCTTGACCTTGGAATGGCAGGCACATTAAAAACCTAGCACCTGACCTTGAGGGGAAAAAAATACGTGACAGCTGTCAAAACTGCCAAGCTACCTGTTTGCTACAGGTGTTGCATTTTGTGCTTGCTCAAATGCACGCTTAAAAAGATTGCTGTGTTTTGCCGCGGTGTTGCTTACCATGTTAACAACAGTGCCACTCAAAAGCATGATCCCAAAGGAAGTCCTACAGGTTTTATGCAAAACTGGAGGAATAGTTTATGCCCGCAGGGGACTTCTGCTAGGAATAAGGCTGATCAGTGGATCAAAATTAAACCCATCAGCTCTGCCGGATCTCAGCAAGAAACTTGGGTGGTGCCCCATGCGATTGGCAGCTTCCCATGTTCCCTGACGGTTTTTTCTTGTGTCAAGCCAAATATACCTCCAGAAGAAGGATAACTTACACTGTTCCATTCCTTGCAGAGGCAGCTGATAGTGAGAGGGTAGTCTGATACTTGGCTTGGCATTTTCCCGTTAACGGGAAATATGGAACTGATCTTCAGCATATTTTTCTCTATAACCTGTCCTCTTTATAGCCATGGACACAAGACCCAAGATGTCTGTTGACTTAAACTTGCCTTATTTATACTGGTGGTGGTGGTGGGGGGAGTCTGTAGATTGCGGCTGAAACAAACCATTTAGACATGTGCTATTCCGTACTTTCTACTGCTATTAAAGACAAGTGCTGCTGCTAATAATAATTGGGATTTTAATAGATATTTGCATCAAGTCAGGCTACAAAAGATGCTGCATAAAGAAGGAAGCTTATGATCCTCTTAACAGGCTAAGTTTAAAACGAGCAACCTTCCATCAGGCCGGAGAGCAGCATGTCCTTCTCCACCAAATTGTTGTTTTCTTCTGGTCACATGAAAGGCAAAGGGCATGAAAGCCCTGGAGACCTACAGCGGGTTTCGGTTCACAAACAGCTGACTTGCCTTCCTGGAATTATTGTTTTAAAGGGCGAGATCTGGGGCATTTTAGAGTGTTTGCAGCAATTGGAGGCAAAAGAAGGGGAGGGCAGAGGTTGAGGTGACTGGATGGGGTCACTGGAGAGGTGGATGTGGGGTTGGGTGGACTCCGAGGGATGGTGGGGGACAGGAGAGCCTGGAGGAAGGTTGTCCATGGGGTCGCAAAGAGCCGGGCACAGCTTTGCTACAGAACAGCGGCAGCATAGGTTCTCGGAAGACCTTTTAAATCACCAGCGTCGGTAGAGCTGATTCCTGACTGGGAAGCTGGGAGATGAGTGGGTTCCATTGCAGATGAGAGCAGTATACCGGAATTCCAGATTTTGTGGATAAATAAGTGGAGTCTGTTCACTGGAGCCAGGGGTCAGACTAGATGGCCCGGGAAGCCTCTTCTGACTCGCTCTGTTTCTATGTTTCTATCCCCACCATACTTAGCTACCCACACAACCTATGAAAGATGAAGAATGGAAGGAACCATTCCTGTTGCCTCCCGCCTGTTGCCTAGGAGTAATTCTTAATTTCTAGGTGTCTGTATGTGGTATTCATTGTCGATCTTGGTGGTATATCAAAATTGCCAATAGAGATTCGGCTCCACCGGAGGTCTTTGGCTTCCTTAAAGAACAAGTTTCTTGCATCAGAAGCTTTCACAGCTTAAGAAGTTGCTGGATTTGAGGCGGCCAGTCCTGGGTCCAGAAAGCTTAGACCACATCAAGTCTTCAAGTTATGCTTTACATTCTCTGCGGTTAACATCGGGGGCGGGGGCATGTTTAAATACAGACTGGGGAAGGGGCCCGATTCAAGCCACGCTGTGGTCCAGGGAACAACCCCACCCTCTCCAGTGCACCGTGACCCAGGAGGGGAGCCAGCAGTGGTATAAGTAGCGGCTCTCCTCCTGGGCGAAGCAGCTGCTTCAGGGGTTGGAAAGGGTCAAACCCATTTATGCTTTTGCTGCCGCAGCAAACGGTTGCTGCTTTAAGAACAGGACACTTTTTGGCTGATCCAAGTAAGTTGTTTTGCTGACTTGGATGTCGCTCAGACTGGCTGCAGAACTTGGATATGGCTTGCGCAGCCACTGTTTGCGTTTGGATTGAGGTCTTGGGGGGCTTCCAGATTGGGCTTTTATTGTGCTTTTACACGTCTCTCATTAAAACCGCCAAAGCACCCACAAGCCCTCCCCGCATTCCCCTCTGCTCCTATCGTTTTCCTATCACAGGAGATTTGTGAAATAGCAGCTTTGGTGCAGGACTAAGAGCACCTGGGACCTTTTACTCAGAATGAAAGGGTAAAGCAAGGGCTAGTTCACACAGTCAGCAAACACAAGCGACACTTTTGCTGTACTGAACTTTGTCATCTTCTTTGCATGTGTGTGTGAGAGAGAGAGAATATTTGCTGGTGGAAAAGCTTCCCCCGTGTTCCTCAACCTACATCAACTTCCTGCCATGCTGGTGTGTGTAAGAACACCACACACACTTGGGGAAATGTGCCACATGCGCATGTTTCTTTATGTTTTTATTTTTTTGAACACTCACTACATGAGCCTTGGCTGTTTTTACCATCGTAACACAGTGCTCTTCTCTGTGGAATCCTAGAAGAGCCCAAGCATGCGACTCTTTCTTTCTGATCTTGGAGGATCATCCTATGAACGATGCCTCCCCTGTTGTGCTTTAATAAATACACTTTTAAAACTTGCATAAGTAGTTCGCATGAAGCAGGAGAGTGCTAATTTCCTGCCTTGCTCTCCTTTCCTAAGGAAGTGTGCAACTGGGGTTGGGAGAGGAAATCCATTTAGCGTTTTCCACAGTTTTCTTGAGTTGGGTCACGACCAAAGGAAATGTCTGGCCAGGTTGGGCAATGCCAAAATCTGTGACAACTAGCAAAGACCTTTGCCATTGAGAGGGTGACTTTGACCTGAAAATGGCAGATATTTTCACGTGGCCATTGCCCTCCCTCTAAAGTCCTGCCTAACCACTTCACTGAATCACTGAATTGAGCCTCGAGGCACCATCCAGCCAGAGGTAAGCCCATCAGAGCCTTTCCTGGCTAAAGCAAAGCCAGTACTATATCTGGAGTTCTTCCCCATCCCCTTCTCAAGCTCAGATCGAAAACACCTGCCAGTTAGTTCAAACTATGCTCCAGTGAAACAAGCCAGGATGAGATGCGGAGGCATTGATGGGTGTTGCTCATCTCCTCTTCTGGAATGGGGGAGACCTGGCATACTCAAGCATATTTCAGTCCCAGGCATGCGCTCAGCTTTGGCTGGATTGTGCTCTTGTTCTTCCTTGCCTTTTTTAGGGGAGAGGGCGCTGTTCTATTTGAGGGAAGGGATTTTTTTAAGTGGGGGAGTGAAGGACTGCATTCAGTTGGAGTAATTTCTGGGAGCAGCCAATATGCCATTGGAGAGTGGGTACACAGACCTCCTCTTTTCTCAGTTCCTCCCTGCTCAGCCCAAAAGCCATTATCACAAGAGGTCCTCTTGCCCAGACCATTATCGCAAGATAATGCCAAGGGATGCATGAAATTAGGCCAAGAGCCATCGGTTTAGCACCCTTCCTTTGCCCATGCAGAACGACTCTTGCATTTGTATTTACATCCTGTACGCTTTGCCCTTAAAAAGAAGTAGATTGATAATTAATCTTGGGCACATTCCCTGCCTCCTCAAAGAAATCAGCATATTAAAAATGTAGGTGCCAACAGGTTTGAGGCCCTGTTTTCAAGCCCCGCTGGAGGTGCTCACCGGCTCCGTGTTGAGGTCTCCTTCAAGACACTCGTACAGCGCAACCAGAAAGACCCGTGAAACTGAGTCACCATATACAGTTGGGAAATTGGTAATAGAAGGCTTCCTTAACCAATGCAGTCTTCAAGCATTGCTTTTTTACTGATTTTTGGATAAGCCTTCCCAAGCATCTGCTCATGGCTCACTGCTGAAGACTCCAGTTTGGACCAGCTTTAAAAGGTCGTTGCCGTGTTCGTAAAGACACATCCAAGTGTCTATCTCATACCTCAACTTTTATATCTTATGTTTTGACAGGTGGATCTTTGGCTAAGTTGGCTTATTATTCAACAGTACAACATAAAGTAGCCAGGGTGCGATCTTTTGATCAGTCAGGAAAGGTAAGATGCGAATGCTTCTGCGTTTTATCCATTTTTCTAAAGAAATAAACTCAAAGCGACTATGAGTGTTTGGGTGTCACCGCAGTTTTATGCAATTCCATGGTGCTAATTTGTTGCAAAGAAGCCATCTCTGCAGTGGCTTTTTTCCTCAGGAGGAGGCGTGGCAAGAAAAGTTAAAGGGAAAACGAGACAACCTTGGAAGGTTGTTTGCATCTTTTTTGTTTTTGTTCCCAAAGGACATAGAACATGAATCGCCGTATGAAATCACAGTTCAGGAGGAAATAACAGCTCGGCTGCATTTCATTAAGTTTGAAAATGCCTATATTGAAACCTGCCTGGATTTCATCAAAGACCATCTCGTCAACACAGAAACGAAAGTGATCAAAGCCACGGGAGGTGGTGCATACAAATTCAAAGATCTTATTGAGAAGAAACTGGGATTAAAGTAAGTGGAAACGCAAAGGAACGCCTTGTATGGAGAATTACTAAACTTGATGGCCCATGCTTTGATCACTTGGCAACAATGCCAGTCTTGCCATGAAGCAAAGTCAAAATGCTCCTTCAGAAGGCAGATTCCAGATGGACATGGCATCTATTTATGTCCTTCCAACTTTCCCCTCTGTGTTCTATTCATAAATATAATCGATTTACTGTAAGATGATTGTTATTATAGGGCTAGGGCAGTGGAGGCAAACCTATGGCACGTGTGCCACAGCGGGCACACACAGCCCTCTCTGTCGGCACGCAAGCCAAGTCACCCCAGCATCTCTCCAGCAGCCGAGCATCGGATACCAGCACACATAAAGGCCATGCGCAGGCTTGGAAAGGAGTAGCGGCACCAGGCGATGACGTCACGAGCCGCGACTCATTCGCCGTGACTCATCCGAGCCTTTGCATGGCTGGTCAGTGCGCTGCCAAGGTCTTGGACTGGCTGTTTTCAGATTTTATTGTAGTGTTGGCACTTTGCGATAAATAAGTGGGTTTTGGGTTGCAGTTTGGGCACTCGGTCTCTCAAAGGTTCGCCATCAGTGGGCTAGGGTAATGTGCATAACAACGTGTTCCGCAAAAACTTCAGTTAATGCTTTAATTTTCTTTTCTTCCTTTTAGGTTAGATAAAGAAGATGTCATGACCTGTCTAATTAAGGGGTGTAACTTTGTGCTGAAGAACATCCCCCATGAAGCATTTGCATACCTGAAGGATGCAGACCCAGAGTTCCGGTTCCAGATGAATCATCCACATATTTTCCCTTATTTGCTGGTCAATATTGGTTCTGGAGTTTCTATAGTGAAGGTGTGTAAAAACTGGGCCAGAGCTGAACTGATGTTCACTCTGCAGGCATTAAAAATGGAAGTCAAACTGGTCAAGGGAAAGTTGGTGATTTGACCCTGGCAAATGGATGTCCACCCAAATGACACGTGCAGTATAAAAGATGAGACTTTGCTTCCTTCCATCTCTGCTGCCCCTCTCTTAAATTAAAGCTCTTCCTGTTGCTTCACAACATAAATATAGATGTTGTGAAGAATCTATGAGGATGCCACTGCAGGAATCAGGAAAGCAAATGTAAAACCAAACCTAGATTTCCCCGCTTCCTGAATGTCTATTCTGCTCATTTAATTTATTTTGGAGATCTGGTCCCCACCTTTTAACGATCAGATTCTGAAAGTTGTGTTGTAATAATACACAACACAGCCCCCCAAAATTCTTACCCGCCCCATTTCACGCACTCCAGCAGCCCTTAATTCTCAGGCTGATGCATGAGGCCAGACCATGATTTTCTTGGTTTCTGCAGCATCGGTGTAACTGGCAGCTGGGGTTGTGCTTTCGCTGATGGGATAGGGAGTCAGAAAACTTCTTATCTGGCTGACAGATGTGTCAGGTTGGTCTTTCGTGTCCATGATCTTCCTGAGATGCTGAAGGTGCTACTTTCCGGTAGCCCTTCATCTGATGACTTGTCAGTGTGTGCTTCTTTCCCCAGGCAACAGGAATTTGAAACCAAACACGTTTACACTTGGCCTGCCCGGAATCCTTGTAATACAGAAAAAGTACAATTTCAGGAAGAAAACTTAGCATTCCCCTTAAAAACAGCTGAGTGTTTTTCTGATGTCTGTCCATGACCCACCCTCTCTGGTACATAGCAGAAAAAGAATAAGGCCAAATACACATATATGGAAATAAGGATATGCTTGTGTAAATATCTCAGCAGTTACCTGTGCATGATAACTTGATCCTTGCATTGGATAGGTGGAAACGGAAGATAAGTTTGAGTGGATTGGCGGAAGTTCGATTGGAGGCGGAACTTTCTGGGGTCTTGGAGCGTTGCTTACCAAAACAAAGGTAATACTCACAAGTACAGTTTTCTGTGTCGTGGGCATGTTGCTAGTCATTGCTGTAACTTAGAGGAGAAGCAGAATGACACCCCTCCCAAAATAAAACTCTCTGTTTGCTGCTTTATTTCCTGGCCAAAGGCCAAGTTTTCATTGGAAGTGGTCTGTTTGGATTGGGTCTGTGTTACTTTCAGGTGGAGGTCCCCCATGGTAGGTTGAGTATATAATATAAAAATAGATTCTGTTAGTCAGCTAGCTGTCTGATAGCAACATTTCTCTGGAAGATGTGCAAAGCAAAGCCAAATTCTAAAAGAAAAATCATCCTGTTATTATTTCCTTAGAACAGAGATAAGATGGCTATTTTAAAAGCAAAGATTTGGATATTAAACATTGCAGTCAAGAGTCCAGTTCAGTGAAAGGGATCATTTCTCACAGAACTACCATTGCTAAAATTGCGGCAAAATACAGAGAGTAAAACTAAAAGGCCTGGTAAATTTTTTAAAAAGGTATTTTGTTGGACATTAAAGCACCAAACCAGACCTTCTGAGGGGGTGGGCCGTACTGAAGTAACCCTACTGAAATTATATATGTTGCAAATTAATTGAAAGTCAGAGCAATGGGCTGCTTCTATTCTGCTGTTCCCTCCGACATGCCAGCTTTCTACCATAAAACAGCTTTGCTTTAATTCTGGATGGAAACTCGTTCAGCCGTGTGAGCGCTCACCCAGCATGCTACAGTCCAGACACAGGCGGGCCTCTCTGGGGTCAATCCAGGCCAGCAGGAAGTGCAAAACAACAGGTGCTGGTACGAATGCCCACTCTGTCAAGAGGTGCGCGTGTGACACATCCTCTTGTGGGTGGGGTGGGGGTTGTTCTGCTTTTGTTCTAGAAATTTGACGAGTTGCTGCAGCTTGCCTCGAAAGGACAACACACGAACGTGGACATGCTGGTGAAAGACGTGTACGGTGGGGCCTACCAGACTCTTGGTCTAAGTGGCAACCTGATAGCCAGCAGTTTTGGGAAATCAGCAACGGCAGATAAAGGTACCGCCTGGTTTTCCTAGTGTGTGTTTTGGCTGTCTTGCTTCACACAAGAGTGGAAACATAGAAACAGAGCGAGTCAGAAGGGGTCTCCCGGGCCATCTAGTCTGACCCCCGGCTCCAGCCGGCTCCGCTCACGACATGGCCGCCATGTGCATGTCCAGCCGATCCTTGAACACCCTCACCAATAGGTAGCCCTCGGGGTGGTTCTGGATGTGGGGTGAATAGCCATAACCAAAGCTGGCCCCAGCATTGCTGGTGGAGTCAGCCTGAATCTATTCCAGCAAAAGCTCTCAGTCCTCTTTGGGTTTAGGCCAGGCTTTTTTCATTCACAGGCAGCCCGATAGCTCTCTCTGTCCCTCTCATCACTCTGCCTCCTCCCCCTCTCTTTGTTTTCTAGAATTTTCCAAAGAAGACATGACAAAAAGCTTGTTGCACATGATCAGCAATGACATAGGGCAGCTGGCTTGTCTCTATGCCAAACTCCACAACCTGAACAAAATATATTTTGGGGGTTTCTTCATTCGAGGACATCCTGTTACCATGCGCACAATCACTTACAGTATTAACTTCTTCTCCAAGGTAGTAAAAACTTGAGTATTTTAAGAATCTTAGAGTGGGTGAAAGAATGCAGGGATGAAGAGACAGCTTGAGCATCCAGGGGCTTAACTGAGAGGATATGTGATCCCAGGCAGGGGATCCTGATAGATCCAGAGCTTTTCACATGACTTCAGTAACACCTCCTTTCAAACTCGGCGGAGCTTTCATCTGGTCCTCTCACATAAATTCATGATGCAGATTGGAGCCAGGCTGGTAGATGTTGGCTGTCCGAGGGCAGAGCAATTCCCATCAGCTGGCTGGGTGGGAAGAAGTACCGAGGGAGGGAAGGGAATGGCAGAAGAGCAAGGCAAAGGCGGGGAGGGGGGGAGCTGAGCCACTGCCCCTCATGCAGCTCCTGCTGATAGAAAAAGGGTTTCCCATCCTTGGTGAAGAGAGCATTTTAAAAAAACACGCTGTGGCAAGCAGTCATGCAACATGACCCGAATTGGATAACCCTGTGACTAAATGGAATCGCTGCTGGACTTCCAAGTCCCCCAAGTCTCGGGATCTCCGACTCTTGTCCTAAGAGTTCCCAAGTCAAGGGGATGCTTAAGCCAGCGTGCAGCCATCCATTTATGCCCTCCCAATATTTGTGCTCCGCTTGTGTAACTCTCCAATCTGTTGAAGGAAGAGTTCAGCTGAACGGGATTAATACTGTGGCTGGATCTTTCTGTGGTGCTGGAACCCAGAGAGGGCAAAATGCAGTAGTGGGGAAATATTTGCCCTTCCCAGGCAAAAATGACTCATCCAGGATTGTGGGGGGGGGGGAACCGGGGTCTTTTTCACTGGCTCTACAACAGATGTTTTCTGCTTTTGCACTGGAAGTAAGCCTGAGCTACTGAAAGCCCATTTCCGGCACCTGTGCTTGCAGCTACACTGAGTTCATCTCAGGGAATTTCCATGGGATGCCAGAATTACAAATGTTTTCTTTGCTCGCCCTTTAGAATTGTAAATCTAGTCATGCGGGAAGAGGTGTTAGCCCTCAGGGGCCATCCAAACACCTCTATTGTTTCATACTGTGGCAGGGGGAAGTCCAGGCCTTGTTCCTGAGACACGAAGGCTACCTGGGGGCCATCGGGGCATTTCTGAAAGGCGCTGAACAAGACAGTAAGTGCGGCCGTCCCTGCGTCCTGTAACTACCGTGTTCCGAAACGTGCAGGCATCAGAAGAGTTAAGCTACCTGCTCTCATGTACCCTGACATGGTTGGATCTCAGGGCAAAAAGATTCGGTCAGCTCTTCAGCTGATGTGTTTGTGCCACAGGCCTCTGCTCTCACCCCTGCACAGCAAGAGGCAGGGGAGAAGCTGGGCCTCCCACAGGGAGCTCTTCCTTAGCCAGGCCCAGCTGTGAGCAGGGGAGTCTGCCCACGGAGCACAGACATGCCTTCTTGTCCGTCTCCCCATGAGAAGCCTCTCCTTCCCTGCAAGCCCCACACACAGAAGGGACGTGTGATCCACGCCTGTCCCTTCTTCTGGAGAGTGGCTGCTGGGATTCCCCTTCTCTCCCCTCTCCACCCCCATCGGATTAACTGTCCTCGTGATGGCTCGCTGCACAACCCCTCAAACAGTTGCATAAGCGTGAAGCAACAATATTTAGCATCCCGGAGGACCAGGCAGCCAACCGGAGCCTCCAGAAGCGATCCCACCTCGCCCGCATGGAAGCCAGCGCCGATCTTCTGCACCTTTGACTACGCTTGGCGCGGGTGTCTGTTTCGCTTGCCCTGGTCGACGGAAGATTGCAGCTGTCCCATGTCGACAAGCTGTGGCTGAGCCAGTTCTTAACTCTGAAACGTCTGGCTTTCCCCCTTTCACATGTGCCTGGCATATGAACCTCAGATCCCTTCCTGTATATATTCCTGCTTTCACGTGACGCCTCTTCTGCTCTCTCCCTAGATCCAAACCTATACAGCTGGGGAGAGAACTATGCCGGCAGTTCGGGGCTGATGAGCACCTCGCCTGACATCTGCCCCATGCAGCGGGAGCGGAGTGGCACGGTGAGTCTCCCCCGGGTGGGGCTGCTTCGTTCCGGACCCACTGGCCTGCACACGGAGCCCCCCCTGTTTGCAGTCCCAGACGCGGTGTCCTTTGCAGGACGAGGTTCACAAGCTGGCCTCGCTTCAGGCAACGCTTCCCTGGCAAAGGGAGTGGCTCCTGTGCGGAGCCTGGGCTTTCCGGCTCTCGGTCCTCTGTGAGCCGCACGTGGCCACGGGCTGCACGTGTACCCCAGAAGGCGTTTTGCACCCCATGGCTGCCCGCAGAGCCCGCACTGCAGTGGTGCGGTCGGATTCGCCTCGACCGTTCCGGGAGCGAGATGATCAGGGAGCACGTGCTGGTTTCCCAGCAGAGTCGTTCTGCCACCTCTGCCCTGGTTTCCTGCTCGCAAATCTTGGAATCGCACAGTTGGAAGGGGCCGTGTAGGCCGTCCCTGGCAGGAAATGAGGCAGACATTCCCTGCAGGCCCGGTTTCTGGCAAAGCATTGTTTCTGGAGAGACACGAAGGGCACACGAACTGCCTGCCCTGTTGTTCTGTGGAAGTGTGCACTCCCACAGCCGTCTGGCGCCTGGCGAAGCTCAGTCCTGTCCAGAAAGACGGCGAGTAGACGACTAGCCACTGTTTTCCAGATAGAGCTGCTGTGATTGCAGCTGCGTGGCCGAGACTTGTGGCTGAAGAGGGAGGGAGGTGCGGTCCCTGGAGCAGGCCAGAGGGCCTCCGTGACCCTCCCACCCGAGGTTGCCACCCCAGTTGTGGTCACCTCCCCACCCATGAGCACCCCCCCCCCAGATTTGCACACTACCCCTGTGTGAGTGTGTGTAGACAGCAGTTTAACACCTGTTGTGTAAAATGCCTCTCCCTGCCAGAGCCTTAGGCCCGGCTCTCGATCTGCATCGACCCTCTTTGACGCCTCGTTGCTTGTCTTGGACCTTTCGGGTGATCAGGCACCTGCTGGGAAGCTTTGGGTTCAGAGGGAAGCAATGCAGTCAGCCAGTTCTCATGAGACGAGGGCAGTCAACAAGCCCCCGGTGGCTTCCAAAGCACCCCTGCTTATTCCAGCTTCTGTTCCTATTTACCCAGTGGCTGGGGAGCATGGATGAGAGGGTGCTTCTGGGCCCCTGCAATCCACAGGCAGTGGCTGGCCAGCCTGTGAGCAGAATGCTGGGACTCGATGGCCTGGCGGTCTGACGCAACAGGTCTGTTCGCACGTCTTTATCCTCCCTGGGTGTGGATTGTTGCGACACGCAAACTTGGTGAGGGTGGGCAGATGGAGCAGCTCGCAGCCCACCAGGTAGCCGTGTCGCAACAAGCCCTGCCCGGAGAAGGGAATCCGATAAACAATCCAGCATGCCTGGCTTGCACAGGGGTGGTAAGCAAGCTGTAGCAGCTTGCTGGCCGCCTCGCTGTCGAGGGAACCCCTCCTGTTCGAAAGCTCCCTCTGGGTCGGTTGGTCTGCAGTGAGCCCTGGCAAAAGCCGCCCCTCGGCGCTGCTCCTCTGTGGCAGAGCACAGACTTTTCACGCATGGTTTCCTGGGTTCACACTCTGGGAAAGGCCCCATTCTGAAACTCTGGAGAGCAGCCCCTAGCCTGTGCAGAACAGCCTTCTCCAGCCAGGTGCTCTCCAGGTGAGTTGGATTACAACTCCCATCAACCTTAGCATAAGCAGTTCTCAGAGCTTAGGGGAGCTGTAGTCCAAAATATTTGGAGGCATCAGACTGGAGAAAACCGCTGTAGACCATACCGCTGGTCTTATTAGTAGCTGGCTTTTTGCAACACTTAAATATGTTTGCTCACGTTTATTGGAATCTGAGGTACATGGATCTGTGTTAGGATCTGCAAGTGTGTCTAACGCACAGCTCCCTTCCCAAGTTGTCCCAGGGCCAAGCACACATGACCACACAAGTCCCCCCTCTGGTCTGTTCCTCCTGCATTTCTCACCATCGTCCCCTCCCTTCCCAGTTTGACCTGTTGGAAATGGATCGGCTGGAGCGAACCCTCGTGAACCTTCCTTTGCTGAAGGATCCATCCACTTACATCCCGGACACCGTTGACCTCACTGACGACGCCATGGCCAGGAAGTACTGGCTTTCGTGCTTCGAGGAGGCCTTGGATGGGGTAAGAACTTCCTCTGAAGGGTCGTGGGGGAAAGGCAGCCAGTTGGCCGTCCTCGTTTTTGTTCTGAAGGGACCAAGGCCTCCCTGCCTAACTTGTGGAGTTCACAGCAGCAAGCCTCCCCTTCTGGATGCTCCTTCACGCTTCAGCTTGCGGAAGACGTACAGGTTTCGGAAGGGGCCAGGTTGTCCACTCTGGGGGACAAGATGCTCGGGAAGAAAGACATCCAGCAGGAGATCTCCTTGAGTGATACTGCCTTGTTTCTTTCAGTGTTACCCACCTGAACTGGCAACAATGCTCTGGGTTTCCAGACATAATTCTTTCCTCCCCCTACTTGCAGATTTATTTATTTATTTAAAACATTTCTATGCTGCCCCCATCGCAACAAAGCCTCAGAGCAGCTCACAAAGAATACATAAAAACATACATAAATAATAATAACAATTTAAAAGAAAAAAAACAACAACATTTAAAGACCCCCGGTGCATTCTCGGCTAAAAATTTTAAAATCCTAATTAATACAATAATTTAGCAATTAAAATAAGTTTTAAATAAAAAGGTCTTAGCCTGGCGCCGAAAAACAAATAACGACGGCGCCAGGCGGACCTCTCTAGGGAGCACATTCCATAGGTGGGGCGCCACCGCAGAGAAAGTCCTCCTCCGAGTACTCACCCTCCTAATTTCCTTCATGGAGGGTTCCTGGAGAAGGGCATCAGTTGCCGATCTCAAGGGGCGGGAGGGCATATACGGACGTAAGCGCTCCTTCAGGTAACCAGGTCCCAAGCTGTTTAGGGCTTTATAGGTCATAACCAACACCTTGAATTGGGCCCGGACTTCAGTCGGGAGCCAGTGGAGCTGACGGAGAACTGGGGTTATACGAGAACAATGCCCAGTCAGCAGCCTGGCAGCTCTATTCTGCACCAATTGAAGTATCCGGACCGTCTTCAAGGGTTGCCCCACGTAGAGCACGTTGCAGAAATCTAATCAGGAAGCTTAGATGCCAGGTCCAAAATGTAGATTCTTGAAAGCAAAGCACGTGTACCATCACTGGCGTGCATTGCCTCTCCCTGTTTTTTTCCTTCTCCAAACAGTGCAGAGAGAGAGAGAGAGAAATAATATTTCACTCACAGATGTGTCATATGGACCCTTGGAGCAGAAAACAAGGAAGGTTTTAAAATTCTCATGGATCTGTTCCCAGCATCTTGGCTCTTGGGCATGCCTTATTTTGAGGCCATTCAAACAGAGGAAGCATCCTTGCCTGACCCATTTGCCACCAGTAAGGAGCCGCGCTTGCATTCTCGGCTCCTCGTGTTTTTATTTCTGCTCATAAGGAAGCCGCACAGCGCTGGAAGGGTGAATCAGGTAGTCCCCGCTGATGCTCTGTTCCCTTGATCCCACGCCAGGTCGCGAAGCGTGCTGCGGCCAGCCAGCCCGACTCTGTCGATGCAGCTGAGCGAGCAGAGAAGTTCCGGCAGAAATACTGGGATAAACTTCAGACGCTCAGGCAGCAGCCTTTGTAAGTCGGGGAGGGCGATTGTGGAGAGCTTAGCTGGAGCTGAGGACCTTCTGTGAAGGCTAAGTGCACTATAAAAGCTTCTTGCACGTGTGAGCGTCCGACCACCGTCAGATCTAGAGTGAATCTGCCCATGGGGCCGGTTTTGTGGATTGCAACCCAAGAGTGCTGCAGGTCTTGCCTTTTCATCAAAAACCAGCAGTATGCTTTGCACGGTTGTAAATTCTGCTCCCTTTCACTCTGACATTCTGGAAGATAGCAAGTTGGTCAGAAAGTTCCTGTTTAGCCCCTAGCACCCGTGGCTTCCAGGCACCCCAGAAGCGATCCAGAATGGTCCCTTGCAAGGACGTCAAACAAAATAGCTGATGATAGAAATAAGATAAAATGGGTGCGTGTGCGTTTTTGTATTCTCAGTATTTTGCACACCTCTCTCACACACAGTTTTGGAAGTACATTTTAAAGGAATCTTTTAAAGATTGTTAATGTCTGGAAGCACTGCTTCATTTAGGAAGAATGTGTCTTTCTCTTGACTTGTGCATCATATCTGAGCTTCTGTTACAGGTTCATTGGTGCATTTTATAAATAAATCAAGATTGTGCTGGTGGCTATGAAGCAAGAGACAACCGTTGTGTAGCATAGCAAGGGTTGCAGTTAATTGTCGCAGGACTAGGGTTGGGCTAGGTAACCGACCGCTGCTGCTGTTTTCCCTTGACGTGTCTGATTTATGCGCTTCCCTCGTTCTTTTCCAGTGCCTATGGCACCTTAACAGTTAGGAGCTTGCTGGATACACGAGAGCACTGTTTGAATGAGTTCAATTTTCCAGATCCATATTCCAAGGTAAGCTCACCCTCCTCCACTTTCCCACTGTACTCCAGTATATTCATTTTGAAACCTTCTTGTATTCAAGAATAATAATGTATATATTATTATACACACAAGACACACCGTGTCGGGTTACTTCCCAGAATAGCTTCCCACCAGTATAGGAGGCAATGGAAAGTCCAGGAAAGTGGAGTTAATATACACAGAGTTAGATGCATGAAGACTCCATTTCTGCTGGGTTGATTGCATATTGGGAAGTGTTTACGCAAGTCCGAACCCCTCTGCTAGCTTGTGTCATTTGTGTTCTGTTTCCCGACAATGTTGTATTTTTTCCTCTGAACGAGAATCCTGTTTAATACTGAACTTTATCAGTATCATAAGCCAGACATCAAAACAGGTTCAAATGTTTTCACTGCATGTTAAAGGGAAAAATACCTTTCTTGGTTTCATGGCATCTCTCCATCTCTAGACTTTTCTTTTTAATGGATCTGCTCAAATTGATGGCTGTGATCCAACTATCCTAAAAGGTTAAGCATTGGCTATTCCCAGTTCAACTTTATTTGAACAGCAAACCTCCGCAAATTTGACTTCGGGGGCATGGGGGCAGAAGCGGTTTTAAAATACAAACTGTTTTCCACATGGGGAGCTGTGCACATGGTTCTTTAGATTTTGACCAGGCTCTTCTTAAATTGTTGTCAGAACTAAACGGGGGCAGCTTAACCTTGGAGTATTAATCGCTGGAAACTTAATATTCCTGTTCAACTTAAAGCTGACGGGCTTCTTACATGTTGAGCAAACTATATGGGCAGGCAGATTCTATCTGTATGGATGCTGATAAAATCTCAAATACAACCACAAATTCTGTACCATTCGGCCATCTGCCACCTTCAAACCTTGAAAGATGTGGAACATATCTGAAACTGTGAGGAATTTTATCAGGGTCTACCCTGGCTGTGTTCCTACAGCTGGGATCTGGCCAGCATCCTGCTTTCCGTGGAACTTGGCCCAGATGCTTCCGACCCAGCACTTAGTCTGTAGCCCTCTCAGCCTTGGTAGCAATTAAAAGAAATCATCCGGAGAGAAGCATCTGCCACGTTCTCCTACTAGCCTCAGCCATGATTAATTAGCCCATTGGACGCCGGCAACCTAAAGGACAGAGCTTAGAGATGTGGTCTTGCTAATGAGGGTGTTGATAAAAGAAGCGGATTTCCCCTCTTGCTCCCTGAACACGGTCTTGTGTCTTTCTCCCAGGTGAAACAGAAGGAGAATGGCATAGCGTTGAAATGTTATCAGAGTGTAATCGAGTCTTTGGAAGCGTTGGGCTGGGAGGAGAGGCAGTTTGCCCTCGTGAAGGGACTTCTTGCCGGGAACGTCTTTGACTGGGGCGCAAAAGCGGTCTCAGAGTAGGTGTCTCAACTCTTTGCAATTCTGTTTTAAGACTTTAAACACCCCGTATATTTTCCCATCGCTAGTGCACAAATGGCTCACGCGTCGCTGAAGGCAAATGTTCTGGCTGTGGGGTTGCATGGTCGCAAATCCACCATCCTTGAGTAAATGGGGCAGACGGGTTCCTTTTTAATTTTGTACGACCCTCACAAAGACTGTAAATGTACTCATTGGCAATGGGGTCCCTGAAGGCCCATTTTGCTCCATTTGCTCCATTGCCTAGAACCCAATCCTGGGCTGCATACTTTCAGTTTAAGCCCAATATGACCCCATGGACAACACTCCCCCAGGCCTTCCTGTCCTCCACCATCCCTCAGAGTCCCCGCAAGCCCACACCCTCTGCCCCAATGCAGCCACCTCAACCTCTTCCATCCCTTTCTCCTTTTGCCATCCCTGGCTCTTCTCCAGGGAGTCCTTCCTTCTCATTAGGTGGCCAAAGTGATCCAGCCATGCTTCTTCTCAAACTTCTGGAAAAATGGTGCTTCTAGTTAAGTCTGTGTGTTTTCGATACCAAGAACAGGTAATTGGCAGGCTCAGGGGCACAATCCTTCCAGCTGCCTTGGAATACAATCCCCATCACCCTGAACAGTCCAAAACTTTTAGGCAGGTCCAGCTGTACAATGCTTCCCTGGGCTTTCTGCCTGCTCTAGTGCAAAGTCAAATCTTTCCCCCTGCGCCTCAGGGCCTTTCCCCAAAGCTGCAATTTTTCTCTCACCCCCACTGTGAGCAGCAACAAGTGGGGGGTCAAAGTTGTCATTCCGGGCTTCTTGTGCAATCGCATTTGTGTGTGATGCGAGTCCACTTAACCGCTAAGCAAGGGAGGGTCCATCACTGCGTGCGGAAGGGCTTGGATTCAGCCCCTGGCATTGCCTGCTGAAGGGATCAGGCTGCTAAGATCCCTGCCAGAGACCCTGGAGAGCATCTGCTATTTGAGAGTGGGCTAGCTGCACCCCCGGATTGTGTCCGCAGAGTGATTTCTTATGCCTGTCCACCATTTCCTTCTCGAAACATGAGTGCCTTTTGCCTGGAATACTGAATACGATACTTCTGCTGTTTCCTCTTGGAGCCTGCTGTCGAGATAGCAGTTCTGTAGAGTCTCTCACCATGTTCTTCTCCCCTTTTTCCTGTTCCTTGCGCCCGATTCCAGTGTCCTCGAAACAGAGCCACAGTTTGGATTTGAAGAAGCCAAGGAGAAGTTGCAAGGTAATGGCTGAGGCCTCTTCTCTTTGGCATGATTCCTGTTAGACAGAGAGCGTGAATTTTGGTGGCCCTTAGACCGGAGATGGAGGCCAGTGCGTGTTCCCCTTTGGCTGTGGAGTTTCCAGGCACTCTCCCAGAGCAACCTGGAGGGGAAGCGGCTTTAAGTATGCTTATTTTTCAAGCTGAAGAAACTCCAGAGTTGATCGTGTGTCGTTTTTATGCCTTTGCACAGAACGCCCCTGGCTTGAAGATTCCTACAACGAGTGGTTGGAACGGCTCAAGGTATGTCAACCAAATCGGGCCAAGGAAGTCCTCAAACGTGTCATCTTGTGTCCTATGCGTCAAACCCAACAACAAACAATGGTTAAAACTCAGCCAGATTTTCAGGCTTTCACAGCATGAGAAACAAGCCAGGAACAGAGCATTCCTGAGTTGTTGCCTAAACTAGATGCAAACAGGGAGTGGGTGGGAGATGGCATCCGTACCTACTCTCACAGGACCCTGATAACCCATGGGCTTCACTGTCTGTGAACCAGGTCATAACCTACTATCTGCCTTTGGCAGAATCTCTGCTTTTTGTACTTCCATGCCGAGATTTTTTCTATCAGTATTCCTTCTAGGTAAGTTTTTAAAGTTGGTGTTGGGTCCAAGTATATTAAGAAGTAGACCCAAACTGGCTTTGGGCTTGGTGTGCGGCTAGTCATACTTTAGATTTTGCTCTATGCATTAATTCAGACTTAACTTTGCACTGTGACTTACTAAATTTGGCCTTGCATATGGTGACATCGTTGTTTGTTGTTGTTAGTCACAAAGTCGCGTCCGACCCATCGCGACCCCATGGACAACATTCCTCCAGGCCTTCCTGTCCTCCACCATCACCCGGAGTCCACTTAAGCTCACACCAACTGCTTCAGTGACTCCATCTAGCCACCTCATCCTCTGCCGTCCCCTTCTTCTTTAGCCCTCAATCATTCCCAGCATCAGGCTCTTCTCCAGGGAGTCTTTTCTTCTCCTTAGGTGGCCAAAGTACTTGAGTTTCATCTTCAGGATCTGGCCTTGTAAAGAGCAGTCAGGGTTGATCTCCTCTAGGACTGACTGGTTTGATCGCCTTGTGGTCCAAGGGACTTGCAGGAGTCTCCTCCAGCACCACAATTCAAAGGCCTCAGTTCTTCGGCGCTCAGCCTTCCTTATGGTCCAGCTTTCACAGCCATACATTGCAACTGGGAAAACCATTAGCCTTTGGCAAATGGACGCAGTGGCAACCATGCCTCACCCTGTGTAGCCCACAACTTTGCCCAAGAGCTAATGAGAAACACAACCAAGAAAGACAGACAGGACAATTTGATATGAAGCGAAAGAGAGCAGGAAGCATAGAGAGAGAGAGAGAGAGAGAGAGAGAGAGAGAGAGAGAGAGAGAGACAGCAAGAAAGCAAGAAAGTTGAGCAAAATGGTCATCTAGAATGAATAGAAGCACCTAAGCTCTTGGGGTTGGCCCCGTCTCACAGCAGTGCGGGGCAACAAAGACTGGGAATGGGCGACCAAACAGTGCAGCAAAACTTCTTCTGAGCATTTCCCCTGGAGGATGTAGCGGGGACACAATTCAGGCGGCCAAACGGCCTGCACCACAAACTTTAGCAGGGACACCAATTCCCACCACACAGGGACACATGCGCCAGGAGTTCACCCCTCCTGTGGCCAGGCGGAGAGCGCCAGATGTTTTTGGAGCATAGTCCTTTCTCCCTGCAAATTGCAGCATCTGGAAGCGGGGGCACAAGTTCCTCCCCGCTTTCCTAGGTGGTAGGCGAGCACTTGCTAGGAATGCCATCGTGGGTTCCTGGACGTCTTTCATGAGCGCCTGCTATTCTTTGGCACGTGTCCTACATCCTCATCACAAATACTTTGAGACCCCTGAGGAAATCTTCACCACCCATAGTCCACCTGCTGAAACCAGTGGAAACCTGATGCTTCCAACTGATTTCAGTAGGGAGAGTTTCACAGACTGCATGGCTAAACGTGGCTCAGGGGGCAGGGAAAGACTTGGCTGAGGCCGTTTAGCTCGGCTCCCTCAATCGCAGAAGCAAAGCTCACCTTGAGTCCAAAGAAGACTCAAGTCGCCTCCCACTGAACATAGAAACTCCCGAATCCACCCATTACTATATTTAAAACGACCCGATAAAAATGGGCACAACTAAAAGTGGATTAAAAGAAGTGGGGAAGATGCCACCAGGTTATGACCAGGGCTGTCAAAATAATGGAGCCCCATCTGAACTCTTTCTGGAATCCAGGGAGACCCGTGGACCTCCCTCCACTCCAGGCAGTGTCTTCCCAGAGATGTCACTTCCCTTAAGCCGAATTGGTTGCCGGAGGGCAGCAAAGCACGCCTAGCAACTTGCCAGGGGAGGCGGGGGGGGGGGGGTTGGTGATGGCCACCTCTATGAGTGCACTGAAGACATCGATGCCTGCAGGTTCATCTCTGATCCTTCCCCCTTTTCCCTTACAGGGCCCACCTCATCAATGTGCCTTAATCTTTGCAGATAACAGTGGAATAGACATCATTTTAGGCATCTTCCCCTTTGTCAGAGAGCTGCTGTCTAGAGGCACCGAGGTCAGTTGAATTAGGGTGGCGTCCAAAGGTAAAGTCCCGCAAACCCTGTCGAATGGGCCCCGCAGAGCGTTTTGTGGGGTAAAGCAATAACGGTGTATGCAGTTGGGCTCACAACGCACCTGCATTCTGGCAAGTGTGGCCCTAGTTCCATATAGAAGGTGTAGAAGAAACTCATCCTACATCAAACTCGTGGGTATCTGAAAAGCTGTACTTGATGCTCACTGTGTGGAACACAATGTTAAAGTATTTGCAGCAGCTGTAAGCCACTGCAACGCCGTAAGATCGCCTTGTCGGATTAAATATGTTCACGTGACTTACCCTGGCAGCAAAATAGATCAGGTATCAAATGCTTATAGGCAGGAAGGGACAGGCGAGCAGAAAATGGACTGAAAGAGGGGCGGGGTGCGTATGTTGAACTGGAAACGGTCCGCGGTGGAGGGGGAAGAGGAGGAGAAGGCAGCATGCCAGAAGTAGAGAAAGGCGTACCAGCAGTGACTTCCGCAGGTGATGTCAGATCTGTCGAAGCACCAGCTGCCTATTTCTTGTGACTCAAGCTCCTGAGAGAGCTTTCTTTCAGCTAAAGAACACCTCCTTTGGCTGTTATTGAAAACCATTATGAGAGATACCCATGTTAGAAAGTGTTTGCCCCATGGTTCAGAAGTGGAAACAACAGCGCATGCCTTGTTTTACTGCTTGCTCTACCAGGAAATGTGTAGAAAGTATATCTTCTTCCCGCTTGGAATATTTGCTGGCCACTCAGTCACAAAGGTGGCCAAGATTCTTCTTAGAGGAATGAACCTGCAGATCTCAGCCTGGAGCAAAAGGTTTTTGGCAACCGCTTGTAAAATCTGGGGATGTATGATGAAGATTTTCAGGGTGTTTGGGTTGTAAGAATGTCACTAACCAGGTGTACCATCTCTTTGTGCCATTGGGAGCTGTAAAATGTTTGGGCATTCCAGGCCAAAAGTGGGACTCAACAGACTTTTTTTCAACATAGTAAGAAATGGGGCAAGATTCCCATTGGGCCATGGGGGCAGTATATTTCTGTAATAAATAAATAAAGATTCATCAAAATGAAATGAAAAGATTCATCTAGGTGTTGACCCTGTAAATATAGCTAGAATATGTTCACCAAAGGCTGTTCTCCTTTTTGCAAATGAGGACAAACAAATGCTTATAGGATCATGAACTGTGGCTTGTGGAACTGGAATTGAAGTACAGCCTAATTAAAATTTAAAGCAGATAAGCATTCCCATTAGGCTGTCGATACAGATCTCTCATTTTTTTTCCAGAATGGCTTTCAGCCCCCCAAAAGAGACCCCTTTCTTCTCTCCATCCTGCAGGTTATATTGGCTTGCAACTCCGGCCCGGCTCTGAACGATGTAACCTACAGCGAGTCCCTACTTGTGGCAGAGCGGATCGCAGCCACCGATCCGGTCATACGGTGAGGATTGAGAATAAACAGAATGACGAGCTGAGATTTAGCTACCAAGTTTGAAGAGCCAGTTTATTGAAGGATCAGAATTCATGTTTTGCAGCTTGAGGATATCTCAGTTAGTTCAATATGAGATGCCTTGAGTGACCTTGGTAGGATCCATATTCGTTATATAAGAATATAACATTGTATGTACAGCCGAATAAGACGTTTCCAGTAGCTGAGGTGGACTGACAAGGGAAAGACTCTTTGGAGGGTGTTCATAACTTCAGGTTGCCATTCATCACAGCATGAGGCAAGACCAACATCCCAAAAGCATTGCGGTCAGAGCTAAGCTGCAGGGCAATACCTTGTAAAGCCTTTCATTTTTCTCAAAGCTTTCATCGATTGACCAAAATTTGCTACGATGATGGATGGCCATAAAACAACCACGGTTGAATTTGGTCCTCTCGACAGTATTGTTGGTTATATGACTCACTTCGCCCTTTGCCCGTTTACCAAAATAATTTAACATAACAACTAATCGAGCCAGTTTAGTCATCAGAAGACCTAGTCTACACAATATTTCTGTCGGTGATAGATTGACTCTTTCCAAGCATTACTGCCAGGGGAAAAACTCCAGGAAAGATTTAAAAAGTTATTAGGTTGCCAAAACTGGCAGGATGGTTGGGATGCAAAGCATTCACTTGCATTACATGATAATTAACTATGAAGTTCTGGGTGGAGAGTTGTAGGAGGTGAAATGGACTTTGCCAAATAAAACTAACTTTTGGTTCTCTTCAGCTGAGACATTTAAGAACAAATTTGCATCATATACATTTCTGGCACATTAACTTTGATAACAGCTTTAAAATTATGGATTTTTTAACCTTTAGAGCTGCCTTGAAGGAAGAAAAGTTGCTCTTGGTACAGACAGGTTCAAGTTCTCCATGCTTAGACCTCAGGTAAGGTCCGACTGTGCCAAACACCAGGTACTGAGTTCAGGTGCTGTTTACATTTTGTTATAGTTTGTTCTGTGCAAAGGAGGTTTCCGATGGATTATGAGTCCAGAAGGGGGCAGTAAGCAAATGCTTTTCTTAGGGTACGTAAAGCGTGCGCTCCAGTTCCAGTCACACTTTGGCGATTTGGGAAAATAGCCTGTTTAGGTTTGGACTGAATTGGAGCCAGCCTAAGTCAACTTTGGTCCAAATCTAAATCTCAGTTCAGAAACTGACGTCTTCACACCGCCAACTGACTGTCATTGGAAATCAACAAATACCTCTAACTTTTCCATTGTTCAGCTTGGATTACAGCTGTCAGTTTGGGCTCCTGTTTGTGCCTACTTCGATGCCAAATTTCAGATTGATAACACAACTTTCCAATTTGATTCTTTTGAAGGGAACTGCCAGCAACACTTTTAACTTGGCAAAACTGGGTAAACTTTGCTGAAATACTTGTTTTTTCTGCCTGTATCAAGCCTGCCTGGTTGCAGATGAAGATGGCAGGGAGCTGTGTGACAGAAACCTTTAGCATTTGAAAAAGAATGCTCTTCTCCCCCCTTTTTGCGGGCAATTTTTATAAAAATGACTGACAACAGAGAAGCATTGCCAGGCAAGAAACAGTGATATCTCCAAATACCAGGCACAGCAACTCGGGGGTTTTGATTAATCAGAAACATTTTAAAACTTTTCCTTGCAAATGTTTGCCCTGTCACCCTTAGGACAGGTGCAGGATGGATGAATAAAAAGACTGTGGAGGAGGCTGAAGGACTTCAGCTTCCACATCTTCCAAGCAGCCGCTCAATGCCAGAGCTTCCCAAGGGGTCAGAGCATCCCATGGGCTTGGACCTGGTCTGTGCTGGCTGAATCCCCCATTATCTGCATCTCTTCCATTATCTCGGACTGGAAACCAACTGCAGGGCTTGCCCCACATGTTCTGCCCCTAGAAATCAGGAAAGGCCACGTGAAGATTCCTCCGAGGGGCATGGCTTGGGCCGGACTGGCCACCTCCATAACTTAAAGCAACTACTCCTGCTTGAAAAACAAGCCCTTTCCAAGCGCATCTGCTGAGATGAGGAGTAACTGGGTGGGTGGACGAGAAGGCTTTGCTTCTCTGTGCCAGGTTTTTTATTCACTGGGTTTCTCTATTGTTCCCACTGTTCCTGCCCCAGGGCTGTGCTTGTGCGTCTTTCGAAGGCAGCCGAAGCTCTTAGAAAAGCACAAATAATCGCAAAGAGCTTCTTTTCCGTCCTCAAGATGATGATGATGTGTGCGTGTGTTTTCCCTAAAGAAATTTTGTGCTTCTGTCATTCTTGGGGCTCTGCCAATCCTGCAAATCCCCCCCTTTCCGTGATGGGGTGCTTTTGATGTATTCATTCCCGGAGAATGAGTTCCCCGGAGAATGAGTTTATGAGTTTATAAATAGGGTGATTCCAGGGGAAATGGCACCGTTCCTTCCGGAGCTATTCTACACCTGGAACTCTTTCTGATTCTGTGCTCACTCCTGGACAATGAGGGAGGAAATGAGTGGGTGACACAGACTGCCCTTTCCGCGAGTTCCCGTTGCAATCGGTCCTCTTAGCAGATTCATGTCTACATCCCTATGTTACATCAGCTCCTCCTGATTGAGGAACGAGCTCATTCTAGTCACTTGGCTCATTGAGCAACCGGCTAAGAAAATGATGGCAGTGTTCAATGTAGAGTAAGGTTGACTGTCACAGAAGCAACACATGAGGCCCAGTTCCAGAGTCACAAGAGAAACTTAAAACGGAGATGAGAAACCAGCGGCGGAGAATCCTAGCACAGTGTAGGAGTCGGGCTTCTGGACGCACCCAGCATCTTCAGCTCAGTGGCTTTCTTCCTCGAAGTCCATCGGCCCTTTCAGTGTGGCCCAGAATACCTTGCATGACTTGCAAGTTCTCTCTCGAAATAGAAACCAAATCCTAGCACCAGTCCTGCCGCGAAAGCAGATTGAGTTCTTCGTGCATCTTCTATTTTGGAAGATAGGCCATCTGGCTGCATCCTCTGGCATTCTCCGTTTGTTTGCTTGTTTTTGAAGAGCACTAAACCAAGGCCGCTGCTTCCCATCTCGCTCCACATGTTGGGATAGATGTAATTCTCCCAACGTTGGCAAAGCTGCTCTGAATTGCCATGGGACAGAGGTCGGGGCTAGGTAGTCTGTCTTCAAGAGCTAACAGTCTGCATCTGTTTGCAGCACAGCATAAATCCCTGCAGCCTGCCAGCCATTCCGCTCCCGTCCTGTTGTGGTTGTATTTAAAATATTGATCTGCACTAAGTAAGAGCACCAAATTCACGCTCATTCACAAATTTCAGGGCAGTGTACAAAGCCCATTAAAGCAACGAGAAGCATCTTGCTAAGCCAGACCTTCCAATCATCAAATTCTGGTGGAAGAAATGCAGTTTTAAGGCCCCGAAATGCCATCAGGGTTGGTGCCTGCCGTAGCACGGAGGAGAGAGTTCCTGGGCGGGGCAGCACGACCGCAAGGCCGCCTGTCTCCCATTACCATCAAAAGAATACGTGTGGGTAATGGAAAAAGCAAGAGGGGCTCAGCCGTGGACCTCTGTCTGGGCAGGGCGGGGTGGGAGGAGGCTTCCCCGCTGGAGGGCCGCAGTCGCTGGGGCCAAGAGCCAGTTCCGCCAGGTCGCTCCTGGCCGGGCACGCTGCCTTGGTTTTGCGAGAAGCGACGCTGGAATGTGAACTGTGCGCTTCGAGGCCATGGAGGTTGCAAAAGGACATGTTTCGAGCTTCTGTGGTTGCCGCTGCTTTTGCCCCCTTGGAGACTGGGCCGGAGGACAAGGGTGCCCGTGTGGCATACGAGCACCTGGCATTTTCACCGTGGGACTGAATCCGCCACTGCCCCGAGCACGTGTGCCGGCAGAAGCTGGCCAGGGTGGAGCCGCTGAGAAAGGAGGGCTGCGTGGCGGGGCTGCTCGGTTTGCAGAAGCCCAGATCTTCTTCTCAGGAATGTTAGCGCAACAAAGATGGTCGGCACCATGGAACGTGGAGAGTTAGTTGAAGGTGGGGGAAAACGGGTGGAGGGTCGACCTCCTGGTGGCTGTGGGGCTGGCCAGAATGCTGGACAGGAGCAGTGGGCAGGGATGATAGGTGTTGTAGCCCAAAGCATCCGGAGTCCTCAATAGCTTTGCTTCGACTTTTTCTTTCTTTCTTTCTTTCTTTCTTTCTTTCTTTCTTTCTTTCTTTCTTTCTTTCTTTCTTTCTTTCTTTCTTTCTTTTTCTTTCTTTTCCTTCCTTCCTTCCTTCCTTCCTTCCTTCCTTCCTTCCTTCCTTCCTTCCTTCCTTCCTTCCTTCTTTTCTTCCTTCCTTTTCTTCCTTCCTTCCTTCCTTCCCTCTCTCTCTCTCTCTCTCTCTCTCTCTCTCCCTCCCCCCCCCATCCTTTCACTCTTCTGAGCCGTCTCTTCCGTTCTCCTTGCAGCCGGCTGGACAAAGGTTTGGCCAACCTGGTCCGGGAGAGGAAGACGGACCTGGTCATCATCGAAGGAATGGGCCGGGCCATCCACACCAACTACTATGCAGCCCTCGAGTGCGAGAGCCTCAAACTCGCGGTCATCAAGAACGCTTGGCTGGCCGATCGCCTCGGCGGGAAGCTCTTCAGCGTCATCTTCAAATACGAGTGCCCCTGAAGCGAGGCGGCCGAGCCACGGGAAGGACTGGAGGGGCCAGCGCAGGACTTGCACTAGTTTTAATTGTAAAGAATGTATTTTTATTACCACAGGGAAAATGAGTTCACACACACAATTCCGTATTTATATTGTGCTTTTGTGACCTAAAGTGACATATATCTCTCATATTGGGCTGGGTTTTTTTGTTTTTTTTTTTTTTTTTTTTTTTTTTGGTAAGTGTTTCTTTTAATGCTGCAGTATTTGTGATGGAAAGAGACTTGATCTTTTCTTTTTGTTCTGTGAGACATTCATATTGAAATATTTAAATGTCAATGAAATCTCTTTTTATATTTTGGCCGAAATATACACCCGCCATTACGTGGCAAATACCAAATAGAGTTTTTAATGAGCTGAAGAATGTCTGAGTTTTAAATGAGTCAGGTTTGGGGGTGGGCGTGTTTGCTTAGAACTGTTCAGGCTTTAAAACAGCCCAGCCTTGAAGTTACTTCCGGAAGTTGGAAGAGACCATCTTGCAGTACATCCATTTTTTTCCTGAGGTCCCTTTTATAGATTATAGAGGTCCCTTTTACAGGGATTATAGATTTTGAATTTTGTCCAAGTCAACCTGCCCCAGCTTAGTGCTGGACTTAAGCACTGGTGTTTAAGTTCTAGTCCAGCCTTCCCGGGTTTTGCCAAAGTTTGTATAGCAGGGCTGCGCTCATAAAATCTTTTTCACTAGGATTTCCCCCCCACACACACACACTCATTTGTACACTTTTACATGCTGAGACAAATGTGGAAAAGCAGAGGGAACAAATTCCAGGCTCGGCTCTGCGGTCTGCAAACTGCTAGCTGGCAGTTGGGAGAGAGAGGAGGTTTTCTAAGCATAGATTGGTCAAAAAAAAAAAAAAAAGATATAATACATATGTATTACAATATGTATGTCAGTGATTTCAGCCTTGTAATTTAAGTTTTCCAGTTAACGGTCCTGCCAAATACATGCAATTACTCACATGCACACAGTCCTTTCAGTGTAGATTAAAGGGGTGGCTAGATCAAAAGGACCCATAATCCATGCAAACTAAGCCCGAGTGCCAAAGGGTCACCTTTCCAAGCTGGACGACCATGTGTGGCTGGCCGGATACTCCCCTGCAGTGCCTTCCTGCCCTGCCCATCCACAGCCCCCCACATCTCCACATGGCCCAGCCACGCAGGCATGTGGCCTACCATTCAGACACAGAGTAGAGCTGAGCAACTTGTCTTCACCTCTCCCATGTGTAGCGGGGGAATATCTGGAGCAGAAGACCTTGTCTTTCCGTGGAATCAAGCCAGAGCTTTCCCTCGGAGCAAAAATGGCAAAACTGCAGCTGTCGCACTTTGGACACATCAGGAGAAGGCCAGAAGACTCGCTGGAGAAGACCATGAAGTCAGGCCAAGAAGGCAGGAGAAGGGAAGGACGACCACATCAGAGAGGGGTTGACTCCCTCAAGGAAGCTACAGCCTTGAACGTGGAAGAGCTGAGCAGGATTCGTCATGGCCGGGATATTTTGGGGGGCTTTTACGCATGGGTCGCCATAAGTCGGAGATGACTTGATGGTGCATCACCACCGCATCCATGGGAGCAGGCTGTCTCTGGAGAGAACCGACGCACGTTCGGAACATCTGTGTGGTACTAACCCGAGTGCAAACACCTTTGGACTACATGTCCTGTAGGCTTCAGTCAACCCAGGCAATGGTCGTGGATTATGGGAATGGAAAATAAAACAACCAGAGAGTACTAGGCTTCCTATCTTCGGGCTTTCTTGGAGGGCTGTCCCGTGCCAAAGCCAAGAAGAAGTGGGTTACCCCTTTTCTCTCTTCCTCTGCCACACTTCACCACACAATAGCCTGCCAGGTTTGAGACAAATGATGCCAAAACGGATTACCTGCAGAGGACGTCTGAAATTCCTTTTGAAATTCTTCAGCAAATTAGACCGTGCCTTGGCTAAACAGGTAGAAGCACAAAGAGAAGGATTCAGACCAAGCCTACCAAAACCACGGTTGGGTTCGGCACAGACATCCTGGGAGTTGCCACGCTCCTGGCATCCCATCTTCCCTGGAAAATTGCAACATACGGAGGATGTGGCCATTAGCTTTCAGCCCCACAGATTAAATTCTATAGGCCTGCAGCTTCACAATTTGTCCAGTAAAATGTTTTAATAAATAAATAAATTGCTAAAAATCAGAAAACACCTTCCAAAAATGCTGATGGAAAAACGGAATACACCTGCCTCTTCTTTTAGCTCCCAGTGGTCCTTTTTTTGTGTACCTTTAGCAAATGTGGCCCTAAGAAGTAAGGGAGACGGCTTGGTCACAACTCGCTTTTATTTAGTCGATCCGTAATACAGAAAAACACAGCTACTTCTGTGTCATTTTAGCTGGCTACCCCCTTTAAAAAAAAAAAAAAAAATTCTGGCAAGGTCGGGGTTTGAGTTTCCTAGAGGAGGTTTCTGTGGGTGGAAACAACATGCTTAAAATAGCGCTGTGGTACTGGGATGCTTTTGTTTTTAGTAACTAGATTGCATCCTAACCTAATTGGCCCTTTGATTTTTAAATTCTCGCAATCTGTACAAGAAAAAGTTGCAGGAGAACACCTTGTACCCTGCAGCATTCCTCCTTGGGAGACCTTTTCTTCCCTGTCCTCGGATATTCCGCCACCGTTGGCAAGCCAGCGCCAATGCATCTCTTTCAAGGTCCTAGTTTAGGGGAAACAAAGAATTGCTGTCCTTTTGGGAAAAGTCTCCAGCAAAGACGGAGTTATCTTTAGGGCCTCCTGAACTCAGTGATCTCCCAGGCCATGATCCACCTTACATTTGGCGTGCCTACGAAAGATGGACACCATGTACTGTTGCCTTGGGTAGGAGCAATCCTTCTGAATTCTTCTGTACTCACTTTCAAAGTTTCAGCTGCAAAATGCACCCTGGAATATTATCCGTTCCTGCATAAATTGTTCCATTTCCTGAACCAAAAATAGAAGGCCATTTTCGGAGTGGCATGCACACTGGGCTAAATGAAATAAAATTCTCAGGTAAGAAAAAGCTGAAAGCTGCATGAATTCTGCACACTGAGCACATTTGCACAATTTAATTCTGCTTCTGGCACTCCCAGGGAAGACCAAGGTGCTCCACAGCAAACTGAAGCAACACACCCACTCTCAGACATTTCCTCGGGCATTGCCCAGGCTCTTGAGGACTAGAAACTTGCTCTATGAAAAAGATCAGGAAGCTTACTTCTACATTCCACTTTGTGTTCCCACCCTCCACAACACACACACAGAATTACTGTTCACTTACAGCTGTGAACAATCCACTGTGTAGCTGTTCCTAAATTTACCAATTAATTCTCTGCTGGTCACATGATTAAGGCTTGCCATTTATAGAAATCAGCAGTGCAGATCCCCTGAATGCTAAAAAAAATTCGACTCCACAACCCAGGCTCCAGCATCCCCTGAACAATTCAGTTTTCTGCAATGTTATGTCGAAAGTTAGGGCTCCAGGGTGTGTTATTACAAAGAAGCTATGCTATTGTTTCCAAGACATCCCCTACTGTTACGAGAAATTCAAAAAAGCTCCACTATGGAATGCACAGTTGGGTAACAAGTTCATTAAAGTTTGGCCTCATGCGTCAACTCCTCATGGTTTTGTCTTCCCCGCATTTTCATGCGTCTTGTCTTCTCTCGTTCGCAATCGTTGGCTCAGCTCCTCTGTAAAAACAGAGCAGCAGGGTTTCTACGGAAAGAAGAAAGTTGGGAAGTAGGGCTTTGAAGGGAAAAGCCGTAATGCATTATTTTTTCTCAGGAAATGGTGGACCTGCCAAAATTCACACCTATGCTAAGCCTCCACGCCAGCGAGCCGGTAGAGAATGCCACCTCCCTGTATTTTATTGAGCAACTTTTGTGGCAACGTCCCCTTGGGAACCCAACCGGACCAAAGTGCTGGCTTAGTTCAAGGAAGTTCCAATAAGGACAGAGGGGACCTGGGAATGGATAATCCGCTTTTTTCCAAACTGCTCCAAGGAACTTTGCTTCCTGCAGCACCTCCCAGTGAATTCCTCAGTGAGAAAGTTTACTAAGATTCCCCGAAACATATTCCTTGAGCTAAACTATCAAGATAGGAAGTATTGCTAGCCATATTCCCGCCCAGGGCGAGGGAGAGTTGAATCTCAAAAGGGATCTTTCAGAACTAGAAAAGTGCAACCCAAATACAGAGTCTTATCGCTTCCATAAGGTAAGCCTGTAATTTTTGGAACCGTTGAACTGGGAAATAAAAGGTGAGCAGGAGGGAGAGGTTTATTCAAGTACACACACGGTGGATCTAAGTTTCCCTCCCTCTTGCAAGAGGAGAAGCGGACAGTGTGTGAGCTTTAGGACTTCTTCACACAGCCCACAGCATGTGGACGTGGATGTCAAATTTAAAAGGAGGTCGGTCGAAGTTGTGGAAGCCCATTGAAAGCAACTCAGCATGGCAGTTGTATGCTGCCCCCAACCTCGGAGGCCGAGTGTCCTTCAGTACCAATTGCCAGGGAACAGCTGCAAGAGAATTGCTCTAAGAACTGCGGCCACTTGTGCCAAGACACCCCCAGACTCCGCCATTGCTTGGCCTTCCAGGGTCAGGGCTGGAGCAGGAGGACCCCCAAGAGCACAGGTGAGACTCCGAGGGGCACGTGACTGTATCCAGCAAGGGCTAAATCCTCGGTTTGTAATCTGCCTTTTCGCCAGTCAGGACTACCGGCATCCTTCTGTTGTTTTGGTGCATTTTTGGTGAACTTTTCAAAGGCATCTATAAGGAAAGCTAGAGGCCAAAGCTGCTCTTAAATTTGCCTGCTGGGGAACTTGGGAACTGAACTCAAAGGCTGGAAAAGAACTCACCTGTACCTGTGGCACCTGGAAGTTAATAGGAACACTGTTCCTTTCTCTACCTGAATACTAACTGCTCAAGTAAGAGTGGTAAGATGGAGGAAGGGAGAGAAATTGGTCCTTTGTTCCTGGTGATTTAAATTGCCACCTTGCTGCCTTTCATAAATTTAAGTGCAGCTAAGGGCTTTAGGATCTTAACTTTAACGTTTAAAAGCTAAAAGTAGAAGCCAAGATGGGGAACCTTTGGGCCACACACGTTCAACAAGCAAATCATTTTCTCCCAGGTGAATTTACCAGTGTATAGAACCCCTCTCTGCCCACAAAACAACTCGGCTCGTTTGGAATCGAATCAGACTTTGACACTAAGAATGCAGTGGAATGTAGAGAAGAACCTGCCGATTCTCCTAATGCCAGAGACTGGGCATCAAAAGGCGACATGCAATCCAATTTACAGTAACCCCGCTTGTCTGTTGCAGCAAAGGCAATGACTCTACCAGCGTTTTAAGATGCCGAGATAAGCTTCCCTGGGCTTCCAGCGGACACACACACGCCGGCACTCACCTTTTCTTGTTCAGCTGTGCGCCGGCTCTTTTTGGATAACTCGACCAGAGCAATGATCATCCCGAACACGAGGCCCAGCGCAAGGATGAGGAAGATCCCACCCAGCGCTTGTGGCTTCAGGGGGCTCCACTTCTCATGATCTTCATGGGAACAGCTACTTTCCCACCACTTGCTTCGAAGATAATCCAGGTCACCTGATTCTCCAAGTTTCAGGATAGCAACTGACAGTTTATTAGTCCAGGAGGATCCTAAGGAAAGACACAGATTAATAAAAAATTGTTTAATAAAGGAATTAATAAAGGAATTGCTTAACCAATTTAGTCTCCGGATGATTTTGCCCTTTCAGGGAGAGCTTGTGAGCACCCAAACCCAGTCATGTGCGGAAGGACGGGATAAAAATGCTTGTAATAAATAAATAAATAAATAAATAAATAAATGTTAGTTGAAGTGTGTCATTTACTCATTTGTGCCCTTCCTTTTCTCTTTCTGGGTTAGATCCAGAGATAGGCGTGTGCAACAAGCTACACAGAAGGTCAGGAGAGCCTGAGGTGCACGGATCGTCAACAAGAATCTCCAAAAACCTACTAAGACAATTGGTGTAAGAAGATCTTCCTGCAGTCTAAAGGAATGGCTCCATCCAGTCCAATTTGTCCTTGAAAGACCAGGAGTAAGGAGAGGTTTTTGCTATGCATGGAGTCACCATACTGAGGGTTGAGAACGGTGGGGCTCACACTCAGCTCACTGAACAAGGACGTACAGACGAAAAGGCCCACTGGACCTATGAACGTACAGACGAAAAGGCCCACTGGACCTATGAACGTACAGACGAAAAGGCCCAAATACCTATGGACTCCATCATTCTGTCATCAACGAGAAACCTCTGCAGACTCTGTCTGTGGAAAGATCTTCTCCAGTAGCTGGGATTCAGAGGTATGCAGACCCCAAACTTGGAAGCAGGATTTAGACATCATGGCAAGGGGCTATGAATGGTCTCAGCCCTCCATGTATTTATCTAAGTCCCATGCCTACCTTTCCAAGGCCATCTAAGTTTCTGAGCACCATGGCTTTTTGTGACAGCAAATTCCACAACTTAACCATCTGCTGCGTGAAGCAGTTCTTCCTTTTAGTCACCGGCTCTCCATTATTTATCCAAGTCCTCCCTTTTTCTCACCAATCATCTTCATCAGATGACCCCAGATATTAATGTAATTCTGCACATCACACAGAAATGTTTAGCTCTTCTTAACTGCCTTTGGTCTGAACTAAAAAGCCCCAAATCTTGTAATCTCTTTTCATTGAGGGTTTTGCCTCCAGGATCCAAAGAACTCCGCTTCTCCACTAAAACGTTTCAGTCCCCCATGGCTACTTACTGTTCCAGCAACCCTCATATCTCATCGTCATCTGTTAGAAATGCCCAAGCATTTGAAAAAATGAGCTCTTTGAAGGAAGTGCAACATCAACCATTAAATATGACACTGATAATCTGAAGCAGAGAATTATGTTGAGCTTTGCTTGCCGTTTCTCATTTTGTTTTGCTTTGTTTCGCCCCACCAACAAGTATCTTTCGTGTGTGTTTCCTGACACCTGCCTGATTTTTTCTGCTGGTTTCTGACATTTTATCAGATCTTTTCCACCCAAGGTATCCTTGTAGCATTTCTATTTTATTGAGCTATGCCAGTAAAGATGTCAAGGGCAGCTAATAAGCACAGTTATCAGCAAATGTCAAAATAATGGAAAACTTAAAAAAATAAGTCAGAATAGCTTGACATCGGTTAGGCTGTCATGAAGAAGATCTTGCCATCTTACCTTTTGGTGTCGCGATGCCAAACCCCCTGGCTCCGAGGACTTCTGGGGAACGAACCAGATTACAGTGCCTGGCAACAGCGAGATCTTGTGAGATCGACTCTCCGATGAAGGCATAATTTGAATCTAGGACACGCTGAATGGCCGCCGGGTAGTTCTTGACCAAAACCAAGTCCTTCTTTTTGTTCATGGATTCATAGACCATCTGCTGGATCGGGTTCTTGGAATTCTGCAGAGACAACGGCAGCTCAAACAGCATCTGAGGATTCCCTTGGGTGGGGAAGGCAACCCACTTTAAACACAAGATGGCTAGTGTGTGCACAAAAAAGCCACCCAATGAAGTTTCATGGCCCAGGGGGACTAGAACCTTGATCTCCAAGGTCCCCAGTGTAACCTTCAAACCACTAGCTAGGCCACACTAGCTTTCGTGCGTGTGAGGAGGCTGAAATGGCTCTCTTAAGGCTGTGGAATGACCAATAGTAAAACAGGCTAGCATTTTTCCCTAATTCTGGCCCCGTCCCCTTATCTTTCGCTCTGCCCTGGTCTTGAACATGGTCTCCTGAGCACAACTGAATTTGGCTTTTGGGATGAAAAGCCTCCTTTGCTGCAGCATTGTACAAAGCCAGGTGAGCCATGGAAACAACAGGAAATAGCATGAGATATAATCTCCTCGAGGGAGGAGGTTCCGAGCAGAGCCTTGTCTGCGTGGCCCCCGCCCTCCATTCCTGCATCGCTGGCCACAAATGCCCCCCGCCCCCCAGCACACCTTGAAATAGAGGAGGGTTGACGAGCCTTCCATGGTGCCGAACTCCAGCTGCCGCTGCTTCACCAGGTCTTCAAAGGTCTGGATGGAGAGCTGCTCAGATCCCGACTCCAGAACAAAGTTGAAGCCGGCGATGTACGCGGTCAGCAGGACGATGCCGAACAGCCACCAGATGGCAGAAATGATCCGTACGGAGAGAGACTTGGGGTGGGGCACCGTGCCTGCCAAGGCAAAGCAGAGAGGGGTTTGTGGCCCCCATCCACACCCCGGCCAGGACCCCGGAGAGCCTGGACGGCTGGGAAGGCAGGCCATGGAGATGGCTGCTGAGATGGACTTCCTCGCTCGTGGCCGGGGAAGAGCTCTGTGCCGCACCTTCCGTGTTGAAGTCGGAGACTCCGTTGTGGGAATATTGGAAGCTGGCTCCTACCAACCCAGGTCCCTCTTCCAACCCTGACCGGGGGGAGCCATGGCTCTCCACGGTCCCCAGCAGGGGGCCTGGCCCAGCCCTGCCTGGGGAAGCAAGCTGGGGAAGGAACTGCGACTTTCTGCAGGGGAAGTTTATGCTCTGCTGCAGAAGCAAAGCTCTTCGCTTCTTCTCTAAGGAGAAGGGAAGGATTCGGAAGGCACCGCCCAAGGTGGCTGCCTGTAGCCCGTGGAATGTGAGCATCCAGGGGAAGCTGGGAGCAGCACGGAGGCGAGGATCACTTCTGTACGCCCCCTGCCCCCCAGAAGGTTTAGATGGCTGATCCTGACCATGTCAGTTTGTCCCCAGGCCCCCTCTGCGACTCGGAGGGCTCCTCCAGGACGACCCTGCGGATGCCAATGCTTCCCAGGGGCCTTCAGACAAACTTACCAGCCATCAGACAATGGCCAGGTTCATTTTATGATTTTGGCCTTCCAAAATCTCTATTGGTGCTTCCTGAGTGGCCAGTTAAGGCTAGGAAAGATGATGATGATGACGAACAGATAGAAATAAATAAAAAGTACCATAGTTTAATTAGGAAAATAAAAACAGAAACAAAACTAATTAAAACTTAAAAATAAGTTAAATATTGAATACAGGATAAAGTTAACATAATAAATAAGATATTAAAAGTTAGCATTTTAAAATTTAAGATGACCATGCTCCTTGGGGAAAATGGGAGTTGGAAACATCTGGAGTGTGCCAGATGAGGAATACTGCATTTCACTCACCAAGCATGCAGTCATATTAAAATTATGTTATTAGTTCCTTTTGCTAATAATAATTAATCTATATTTATTATTTATTTAAAATATAATATAATATTTGTGATATTATAAACATAACAACATATTTACGTATAAATATAAATTGATTTATAATTTATAAATATGCATGTATAAAGTTATGCATACATATAAATTTATAAATAAACTTACGTATCAATAGAAAATTGATTTTGTATAGATATTAATTTATTATATGTATTTAATAAAATAAATATTTAAGTACTAATTAAATAATAAGAATAAGAATAATAAGAATAAGAATAAGGATAAGTTATATAAGGGTGAGTTATGTGAAATTTTTTGCATGGCATGTGAGCATTCTCGTTCTCATGGTGTCTTTGTTGCTGTGCAGACTTTCTGTCGTTTTTCCGGATGGGGATGTGGCGGGGGGGGGGGGGGGCTAGGATGGCATCACAGTGCTGGAGGGGACCAATCAGGAAGTCCAGAGCCACGGGGCCTTCAGCAGGTAACTGTCCAACCTCTTCTAGAAATGCTGCAGCTCGAGAGACCCCTCCGAACTTCTCGGGATTTCGCTGAACCTTGTGGAGAGCTGACTGATGCGAAAGGTGTTTTGATAACAGAACTGCCTGTTCTTGCCCTAACCCTAAATGACTCCCTGAACTTTTGGGCTATCACACAAATCTCGTGGCTGACCTTGCAAAGTGAACGAGCCGGCTCCAAACCACAGGCTGTCTAGCAACGTGAACCGGTTCTCCTCATTCCCATCCCACTCACAGGGGCTCAGCCTAGGAAAGCAAAGCACAGGTTAGATTATCTGAGACTTCCCACTGAAGGTTCCCAGAAAAGCTTTCCCATAATCAATCAATGAACCACTTAGCCCAGCCTTCCCCAACGCTGCGCCTTCCAGACACTTTTGGACTGCAGCACCCAGCATCCCCAGTCCATGGTGCTGCTGGATGGGGATTCTGGGAGCTGCAGTCCAGATGCCTCCGAAGGCCACCAGGCTGGGGAAGGCCGGCCTAGCCCAGTACTGCGAAGTTGGACTCACAGCTGTGCCTCTCCAGACCTTCAGGGTGAAGTTTCTCCACCCCTCCCTGGATCCACCCTGGGACAATTTCCATGCACAGCGAGGGCTGCGCCAAGGCATCTTCCAGGGGGCGACGTGCATTATTCCATGTCCTCTGACTGACTTCCAGAACCATGTGCGTGTCATTATTTGCTTGCTTGCTTGTTTGTTGTAATTGTACGCCGCACCAATAGCTACACTTCTTCCCTTACTTCAGAAGGTGGTAATCCAGACCAGGGCAGGGGGCCCTGCGTATTCTGTGGAACAGGGCCCAGACATCTGCCCCTGACTCCTGATACAATAGCACAGGATCCGACCACCAAGACCTCACCTGAGCCCAGGAAGCTGCATTCGGCACTAGGCTAACTTCCCAACCATTTTCCCAGACAGGTCTGCATCTCCTAGCTGGGACATGCAGCTTGCTCAGCTCTCTCCGGGTAGGACCACAACTGGCACCAACCCCAGCTGGTAACATGCGCCCCTGACCACTAAATTCCCCCTTCTAGTTCTGACCCCAGGATCAACCCTGGAGTCTTCTTCACGCTGTGGACCTCTAGTAACGCCTTGCAGCATCCTCATGAGAAGCATCCCTGCACTTAAGGTGCCCGCTGCAGATGGGTTGATAAATTAGGGGATCCATTTTTCTCCAGTCCTGCGGTAGATATCGCCATCGACAAATGGCGATCTGCCATGCCATGGCCTGCATGTTATGCCAAGCTCCTGGAAAACTTGGCTCTAGATATCATCCTGCCAAATCTTGAGGTGCAACATAAAACACACATTCGGTGCAGATAGAAGCAAAATAAAACAAAGATTATTTTCTATATCCAGAACTGGGTGTTCTGGAGTGCTTGCAAGCACCTGGCTTCAAAGCCATCTGTTTCTACCTTCTCAGGATCTAAATGTGGGAAAGAGAGAGCTCACCTGGCGGCAAGGAACAAGCAAAGGCTAGAAAGCAGGTAGGCTGCAAGAATGCAGGCCCAGGTCTCCTTGCTGAAAGGGGTCAGGAAGTGGAAGAGAGAGGCCTCTTCAAGGGCAGATTCCTTCTCAAGCAGAATGCCGATGCCCGTGTGTAGGAAAGGCTGGGTGAAGTCCACAGCATCTTCTCTCACCGACGTAATAGTTAACGGTGCAACGGCAAGGTCTGCTTCCTGTGAGGAGAGCGGAGGAGGTGGGACCTGAAAGGCTTCCGCGGTCGACTCTTGCTGGCACCATGGACACGGACACCAGCAGCAGCCAGAAACGGGCATTGTCCCGTTGGAAACCAAAATGGCAACCAAGATGACCTCTGGGGTCGAGCAATTCCCCTGTGAGGAACATTCTCCCCATCTGAAGCTCTTACGTTAAACGTGGGTATGTAAAGGCAGACACCACAGAGGTGTAGAAAATTATGCATCAGCCAGAGAAAGTGGAATAGAAAATGGATCTTTCCCATGGTCCTAGCTAAGTGGTGGGGAATTTGGAACAGATTAAGGGAAATATTTCTTCACAGGCCACATTGCTATGTTGTATGTTGCCATGTTATATGTAGTCATGGCTGCCAACCTAAAGGGATTAAACAAAGACCATCAGGGTAGCTATGGACTACCTCCAGTAAATCTCTCAAAGCAAGACCTGAGTGTTGGTTTTTGTATGACGACGGTGCTTAGGAAGTCCATGCGAAAATCTGGACTCTTTGGATTTCTGCTAACACTGTGCTCCTTTGTTTCGGTAGGATATGCATCCCAGACAACGTGGGACCCTAGGTTTTATTGGGGTGGATGTACCACAGGTCAGATTGGTGTACAACACAAGCAAACACAGCACTTGTGCAGGTGCCGCACACTGCCAGTGGGAGGAAAAATCTTACCTTCCTCACGACCTCTCCAATCATTCCGGACCAGTTCCCGTTGGGACCCAAGGCTCCGTATTTCCCATCCTTCACCACGCCCACCTTGTACTTGAAGTGCAGCATCAGTGACAGTTTCTCCAGCAGGTCAATGCAGTAGCCTTCCAGCTCCGTGCCTCTGGCCATCACATAGGGGTCTTCCTACGGATGAAGCCAAAAAAAAGTGAAAAAGACACACCAGGCCCTACAGAAGGCTTAGAAGGCCAACATTATACTCCTTCTGGCACCAGCTAAAGGCCTTCCTATTCAACCATCATTTTAAGAATCAAGCCTTTTAGATGTTTTAAGATTGTTTTTCCCTTCCACCCTTCCAAGCATTTTCTATTCTTGTCCCCCCTTTTCTTTGTTCTTAGTTTATGATGTCCTGTTTTATATTGTTTTAATAACTGTGGTTTTATTACTGTATTATTGTAATTTTATATTATGTAAGCCATCCTGAGCTCTTGTGAGAAGGACGGGATACAAATAAAGACAGACAGACAGACAGACAGGAAAAATGTGTGTTAATGGTGGTTGTGACCAAGCTTAGCACAGCCATCCACAAAACTACATGGTCCCTCTTGCTTCCTGTGTGCCTGTGACAATGTTTGTACCCTGGGACGGACCCTGCCTTTATAGCCCTAGGCTCCAAATAACCACCAGACAGTCCTTTACAATGCACACCATGGCTAGCAAGACAAGACAACGTTAAATGGCCTTCTAGGAAGCTGAACCATAAGCCTCTGTCCATGCAAAGAGAGTTGAACCCACACTTGAACTGCATGGCTCAGCTCCAACCTTTTGTGTGACGGCCAGATTAGCTACTAGTATGAGAAAAGCTAAACTGGTAGTAAAGCAAGGAGAGTTTGTAAATCTCATTACAGACCGTCCTGTTCTTCTGCCACCCCAGTCCGGAAAGCTGAAAACCAAGGGGGTAAACAAGGCCAGGTTTTGGCCTTCCAAAAAGCCCAAGCAGTGAAAACACCAAACCCCGCTCTCCTCAAAGATTCAGATGCCTGGGAAGGTTTTTGCTCCATTCCAGACATCTGGCATTTTCCAGGGGCCATGTTTCCAGTCTTGGTGCCCACCCATATTGCGAAACCTGCTGTTTTGCCATTCACTGGCTACCTGCTCGTAGGTCGGACAAGAAGCATTGAGCGGCCTTACCAAGATGGTGGTTACATACAGCGCGGGCAAGTCCTTCCCACCTCCAGCAGAGTCGCTGTCCTGTGGACGGAAACATCGTAGAGAGCATGCTTCCATAACAGCAAGAACGCGCACACAGTGACCACTTCTTCAAGAGCAAGGATGTGTGAAGCATTGATTTTCCAAGTTTCTACCACCAAGGGATGCTCCCCCAGACCTGCGTTTATGCCCAGAAACACCTGTGTGAATTGTGAACGGCTCCAAGGAATATTCCTGGCCACACACTCACGTTGGGGCTTCCCAGGCAATGAGAATGACTCCTGCTCATCACCCAAGGCTTTGTGGTGGCTAAACATAGCTGGCCGACCTGGGTAGGCGACCGTCATGGAGAAGCATAGGCGATCACGTTATAACGAAAGGCAGGCTGGTGCAGTGGTCACAGTGAGGAACTGTGCTTTGAGTGCAGAGGTGTACAGCACATGAGGTCTCAAAGATCTTAGGTTTTAGACCCTGAGTTTATTTATTTAAAACATTTCTATGCCGCCCCCATCGCAACAAAGCCTCGGGGCGGCTCACAGCATAATTAAAACACATAAACAATACCATTAGAGATTTAAAAGCCTGGTAGCATCTCGGCTTAAAAATTTTAAATCCTATAAATACCATAATAAATGAACAGTTAAAATAAGTTTTAAATGAAAAGGTCTTGGCCTGGCGCCGAAAAACAAATAGCGACGGTGCCAGGCGGACCTCTCTGGGGAGCGCATTCCATAGGTGGGGCACCACCGCAGAAAAGGCCCTCCTCCGGGTACTCAGCCTCCTAATATCCTTCACGGAGGGCTCCCAGAGAAGGGCCTCTGCCGCCGATCTCAAGGGGCGGGAGGGCATGTATGGACGCAGATGTTCCTTTAGATAACCAGGTCCCAAGCCGTTGAGGGCTTTATAGGTCATAACCAACACCTTGAATTGGGCCCGGACTTCGATGGGGAGCCAGTGGAGCTGACGGAGAACTGGGGTTATACAAGAACAACGCCCCGTCCCCGTCAGCAACCTGGCAGCTCTATTCTGCACCAATTGAAGTATCCGGACCATCTTCAAGGGTTGTTTGAGAGTGGAACAGCATGCCTCAGAAGATGCGGGGCTTTCCTTCAGCCGTGGTTTCTAGGCATAGGTGAGATGCCATCCATGAGATGCTATGGCAGTGAAATCATTCACATGACCAAAAGAAGGACTTCCCACTGAGCCTGGCATACCGGCGTGAGTGTTGGACTGGGACCTGGGAGAACTGGGTCCTTTTTCCACTTGGCCATGGAGCTCCCTGGGTGCGCAAAGGAGGCAGAAGCGGCAAAAGAGCGTGATGCTCATGGGCAGTCTCAAAAATTAATGGATGGATGGATGAAGGCGTCTACCCTCCTTCGGGCACATTCTGAGAAGCTCCCTGCAGAAACTATCAAGCCAGAAGGAGGATGAGGAGGAAAAGATCAGGTAGAAAATGGACTGGCTCCATCAAGGAAGCCACGGCCTCGAGTTGACAAGAGCTGAGTGGGATTGTCACGGACATGACATTTTGGAGGGTGTCCATTCATGGGGTCACCAAAACTTGGAGATGACTTGACAGAACATAACAGCAACAAATGAAAGCCCACCATTTCTCCAGGTAATTTGTTCCACTGTCCAACAGCATTTCCTGTTTTTCCTAATGTCTAGCCCAGCTCTTTGTAATTTCCACCCATTCCTTCTGGCTCTGAAATCAAACCTGCTCCAGAAAAGAAGATTCTTCATCATTGCCTGACGAGCTGTGGAAATTACATCTCCTGTCTTCTCATTTTAGTGAACTCTTCAGTTTCCATGAATTTTGTCAGATGTTCAGACCCCAAAATTCACTTTGACTCTTTAGTTTTGAGAAATTTCAGGGACAAACTGAATTTGCAAATGGAACTCCCTTCTCTTGAACCAACCTCTAGACACGCAGTCTTATTTTCTGCCTGACTATGGTTTGCATTTCTGCGACTGATCTCAAACAAAATGATGATAGGTTTGACACCATCTCTCTTCCTTTGATGGAGTTGGAAGTTTTCTGCACTAACCTCTCCTTGCAGCTTCCCTGCACCCAAATCACAGCCCGTTCTTCAAGGGTCCTTTTATTAAATCCATTCCTTTCAATGTTATCCATGTTGCCAACACCCATGTACCCAAACTGGAAAGGGCTTTTAGAAAATCAGGCTGGCAAAGCTTTGCTGTGCAAATTCTTTCAAAAGGACCCATTGGCCTTGCAAGAAGAGAGCAGCTGGAAGCCAATTAAGGGCTTGTTATGAGAGTGTTCCCAGGAAGGAGGAGAGAGAGGGAGGGAGGGAGAGACGAGGGGTGGGTGAGAAGGGAAGAACTTCTGGGATCCCTTTGGAGGCAGGGCGAAGCAGAAAGAGCATATCTTTTCACTTGGGAAACCTACAAAACCTAGTTGGAACGTGCACAGTTGTGAGTGCATGACAATGATCCCACCTTTAGCCAAACACGTCAAAGGACAGTGCCAACGAATGAGCAGAGGGCAACAGGACAGCTGCCATCCTGCACACAGGCACACCTATTCCCAGAAGCATGATGGACGCTCATTGTTTTAGACCCTGGACCTCCCAGGACCATGGAATTAAAGATCTTAGCTGTGTCCATGCGGGTGGGAAGGCCTTAGACTTTAAATATTTCTATTTTATCTGTCTGTTGTCCTTTTAAACCACCCAATAGCTGAAGCTTACAGTACAGAGCATAAAAACCAATGGTATAAGAAAACGAAAACTCCCAGAATTGATGAACTCTTGATTGCATGCATTGCTAGCGATTGGCTGGGCAGAGGGGAAAGTCTGAGCCTGGGGCCGAAAGAGTGGCGATGTTGGAACTAGACAGCCCTTTGCAATCAGAGGGCCACTACCAAACAGACCCCCCTCCGTTGAGGTGCTCTAAATCTATACCTGGGGCACCTGGGGAGGAAGTTGAGCAAATGACTCCACGCAAATCGCACGAGGCTGTGGACACTTCCTCCTCCTCCTCCTCCTCTGCACTGATGAAAGCAAGCAGGAGACTTTCACTCCCATTTTCTCACTCAGTAGTGAACACAGGCAGGCAAAGGGAAAAGGGGGACATGCCCACGGAAGTGGATACACACCTTGCTGATGGAATCCCCATTCTCAGTAGCATCTGCAAATAAACAGAGAACAAAAAGGGCCTCGTTATCACAGTATTACAGCCACCGCTGTGGGCCCACAGCCTACAGGATAGACTTGGGGTGCTGTTCCCTCCCTCCCTCCCCTCCCCTCCCCTCCCCTCCCCTCTGCCAACTACAGCCCCCTGGTTATCTCCAATCTTAGACTGGAGATTACAGTGATGACCCGTCCAGGGGGTGGGGCCTGGAGACGAAACCCCGCCCCCGAAGGAATCCAAGGAAGCTCTGCAGACCAGGTCAGATTCACAGGATGGAGGATCTGCTCCCGTGATCTAGTCCTCAATTGCCTTCCCTGATAGGTAACATCTACAAAGCAAATAATCTTTGAAAACATTGCGCATCCTTCTATTATTTTCCATTTCCGAAAACAAAAGATTGATGTTATATAAAGATACAATGCCTCCTGCAAGTTTCCAGTGGGTAGTGATGTTAGTAATCCAAGAGCCTTGTGGGTTTATCCAGGTGCCTTGTTTCGTTCTTCTCAGTGGGGTCTTTTCATTGTATTTTAATGCATTTCTAATGCATTTCTAATGCTGTTTTAATTGATTTTTAAATGCTTTAAATGCTGTTTTATGTATTGTAGTTTATTGTTGTTATATCCTGTTGTGAAGCACCCAGAGAGCTTGGCTACAGGTGGTGTAGAAATGTTGTTGTTGTTGTTGTTGTTGTTGATGATGATGATGATCAATAGTAGTAGTACTAGCAGTAGTCTGTAACCGCAGAAAGAACAGAGAGTTTTGGCAAGTCTGATAGAGTTATTGGAGCTGAAACTTTCATCCTCTATGGTCCCCATCGTAAGATTTGTAAAGGTGTTTTCCTAGCTGGGGGTATTATAAACAATGATGTCAGATGGAAACGAATTCAGAAAGCCTGGCCCAGGATGTATGTAATGGGGCCATTCACAAATTAGTAGTCGTTGCTTAACATCCGAGCAAATTAAGAAACCCATAAAGTGTGATTAAAAGCCCCCAAAATGTATCCCGAAGAAAGCCACACAATTTCCCACATTGCTCCAGCACCGCATTGCTCTGGGCCACATGGGGGATTCGAAATGGCAGAAGTTTCTCGAATCGAGCTCCTGGGATTGAGAACGCGGGGAGGATGGTCCCACCTCAGCAAGTAGCCAGGCCTGGTGGTGCGCAGCCTCCCGTCTGTTCTCCAAAGGCACCTCAGCTCCGTGGTGGTGCACCTGCTTTGCACACAAGGCGCCCCATTCCCGTTCCCTTGCGTCTCCAACCGGAGGATCCAGGGAGCAGGCGAGAAGAACACCCTCCTCTGTCCGCGGTCCCAGGAAGCGCATAAAAGTGGGCAGCCTGGGACAGGTGACCCTGGAAGAAGCGGCTGGGCCAGGTGGGTTGCACGTTGGAGGCATGTCTGCCATGGGAAAACTACGCGGCGGCTGAAACGAGCCACGTAACCAGCTCAGAGGCATGCACAATACCCCTTTACGGATGCAAAGTGCAACATGACATGAGAATAAGCCATTCATGCAGGCTACACACAGAATGATTACAAACGCAAAGGCCAAGTGAGAGCCAGTGTGGTGCAGTGGTTGAGAGCGTGGGACTGGGACTCAGGGGATCTGGGTTCGAGTCCCCGCTCAGCCATGGAGCCAGCTGGGTGACTCTGGACCAGTCACAGGCTCTCAGCCCAGCCTACCTCACAGGGTTGCTGTTGTGGGGATAAGATGGAGGAGGAGAATGATGTCAGCTGCCTTGAGCCCTTTGTAGGAAAAAGGCAGGATACAAATTGAAAAATAAATAAATAAAAGATATTCAAAAGCTGGCAGTCAGATGAGGCTTTTACCAGGCCATCCCTCTGATAAAAGGAACCTTAACCCTTTACGGAACTCGGCAGGAGATGACGATGTCTTCCACTCATAACCTTCCCAAGTTTTCCAGCCGTTTCGTCTTCCCTTAACTCTAACCCTCAGACCCGCCCATTTGGAAGTCGAAGGAAGATGTAGATCAGATCAAGGGGAGGGGTAGGGATTTAGCAGACTACATATGTAAACAACAGTTTCCATCTTGAAAATAAGGCACTGTTTTTTGTTTTGTTTTTTTGGTGCAGCTGTTACAGGTAGCATTTGCCAAGGAGAGTCAAAATGCCACCCTTGCTTAGCGGAAATACAAGGAAGACATTCCAGAATTCTGGCCAATGGAAAGCACCTTCTCCTTTTCTGCACTGTTTATATGTATAAAAAGCGGGGTTCATCAATTCTGCCTCCTCTGTCTTGGGCTCAACTCTAAATTATCCCTCAACAAAAGGGGCTTTTACTGGCGCTACGGCAGCTCTCCATGGGAGCTGGAAGACGGCTGAAAAGAGCGCTCTTGTTCCCATTCAGGGCCTGCTCGTTTGAGCCAGCGGGAGTTCCTTTGGCCTCCTTTCTGAAGACCTGTGCAGGTTCCTTGGAAGAAAACAAGCACCACCATTGAAGGTTTCAGCACCCCCGTTGTGGGCACAGGATGGGGGCGGCTCAAAGCACCATTGTCAAAGTTGCCTCCAAGCTTAAAAGAAAAAAAGGAAAAAGGGGGGGGCCCACACTCGCACCAACCTCCTGAAAGAGGCTATAAATAACCGAATGGCAGCAGTAGCCCAAAGTTCGTGACAGTGACATTTGTACAGCACCCAAATCCGATGCAGGCCCTTTTGTTTGACTCCCCGAACAAGTGCCGCGAAGAAAGGGGGCACAAGGTAAAATAACAACCGTGGGTAATGCAGGATGTGAGCAGAAATCCCAATGCAGGCCTCAAGGCTCGGGGAGGGAAGCCATCTTGGGGCTTTCGGCAAAGCCCCCAAAATGTCTCATTTCCCATGCCATGTCACAGGCCAGGCGGACACCTCAAGGAAATCCACAAGGTGCAAAGGTGCTATCCATTCCCAGTGGTCAAGAAACCTCCTTTCCATTTCCTGGTGGATGGAAGAGAAGCAAGTGGAAAATGTTCCTCATCTTGGCCAAAGACTTTTGGTTTGCTTCAGAATTCATCAAATGTGTGTGAGAGACTGAGGAAGATGACACAGGTGCTGAAGGTGTGCAGGAGACAGAGGGGAGTCAAGGCAGGGTGGAAGTCGGGTAAGTGATGGAGCAGAAAGTGAAAGAAGGGAAGAAACAGGCAGAATGTCAAGGAATAGGCAGACCCGAGAGACTGACCGACGGCATCCAGCTGGTGGCGGGTATTTCTCATTCTGCAGAAATCAGAAGTTAGTTGTTGGTAGTGTATCCATTTCTTTCATGACTGATGTTCTTCCCTTTGGGATTCCTGCATTAATTCATATCACGAAGCACCCACCAGTCCAGATCGAGAAACACCAACGTGCGATGGAAAGTATACTTTATGCTCAGGGGAGATGGCTAACTTTGATGCTGGTGGGTTTGCCTTCTTTGGTGGCTTCTCTTTTGAGCTTTCTAGCAGCTCTCCGTGGCGGCAAACTGACTTGGAGAGGAGTGTGGATCAGCACCATGGATAGCTCCCAAAGGAACTCTGTATTTATTACACTTTTTAACTTTAGGCCAAATCCAGCAGCTATCTAACAAAACAAAGCCACCACAAATTCCCGAGAAGGTGGGGTTCAAGAAGAAATGTTCTTATTGAAGCAAGCTAGCAAACAAGGCCAAACTTTTCCAAGCCGTTCCACATGCCTAATTCTCAACCATGTGGCTTCTCACAGCATCCCACAGACCCACTCTGAATTTCCCCTGAAATGTCTATTCAACAGGGGTTCCAGTTTGACCACGTTTCTCCAAAAATCAGACATTTGGCTGACATTTTTAATAGCCAAGGATGGATTGGTCCTTGAAATGATTATCTGCTTCTCTTAAAAAGCCATCATTTGGATGCTAATGGACTTGTTTGTCCTTCTAAAAAGCAACCCGTCTTCAAAAGGAGGTTTGCCTTGCCACAAGGGAAACCAGCTTCTGCATTCAGATGTTCCTTATTTTAATACTCAAGGAGAAATCATGGTCCATGCTCTAAACTATTTTCCTGTAATTGCCCAGAGAGCTTCAGCTATGGGATGGTAGAGAAAATTCTGAGGGTGGTAGAGAAATAAAAGAAATGCTATTAATATCAACAAAATAACTCCTGAGTTACACTTTGCTAAATCAACCCATCAGTTTAAAGCTTTGGATCAAAAAGTATCAAACCGTTAATTGATGAGCCATCAATCACATGCTCATTTTCAGCCAACCTATTGCTTTCTATAGTGGCCAGAGAAGGATGTGTCATGAAACATGGTATTGTGACATTTGGGAGTGGAACAAGTTGCAGAAATTTGCATGTTCAACAGGCATTTTCGTTGTATGGATATACTGAACTTCGACCTTGATTCACTCCAGCATTGATGACACTTGTCTTGGACGCTGTCTTACCCTAGAGCAGACCACTGGTCCATCTGGAACTGCTTTGCCCACCATGGCCTGGCAGCAACACCTCCAGATTATGGACAGGTGTGCTTCCCAGCCCTTCACGGAGATGCTGGGAAGATGCTGGTTGAATTGAACCTGCAACCTTTGGCACGAAGAGCAATTGCTGTACCACTCAGCTACAGCCCTTTGGCTCAGCTGACTTTTTCGGAATTGCGTAAGGTCTGTTCTCCCGTCACTACACACCTGTTGTGTGGAGCTGAGAGGAAGACACGCAAGGCAACCAACAGCCAGGCCAGTACAATGCCAGCAACCTTGGCTAACGTCGTCTTCCTGGCACACTTCCAATTCCCTCTTCCTTCACAGAACTTCTTGGCAAAAGCCAATCAAACAAACAGCAAGTTTGTTGTTTTCTGATTTTAGAACAGAGGTAGCCCCCAAGATGGGAGGAAAAGGGACAAGGGAAGGGAGTGAGCTCCTCCGTGGGGTAACATTTAAAGGCAGGTTCCAAGAACATCTCCAGCACATTGGACAAAACCCTTGCATTCTGGGAAATGCTGGCCCCGACCAATTGAAAAGCTGATATTTCTCTCACCCATGTCAAAAAGTTGATTGCTCAGTTTTTTCCCTTCTCTCAAACATTCCAGCTTCACACACACACACACACACACACACACACACACACACACACAGAGAGAGAGAGAGAGAGAGAGAGAGAGAGAGAGAGAGAGAGAGAGAGATTCCTAACACATGGTTATAGGAAGTTTTCCAAGAACTTGCTAGATCACAGAAAACATTTCCTAAGATAACTTCTCTATACTTGCTGCAGCACTCTAGCCAATCGAGTGGGATGGTGTAAACTGGTGTCCTGCAATGGCGGGGGTTAGACTGATGGCCTTCTTGGCCCATCCAACTTGACAGATCTATACTTCTACAATCAAACTCCTGTGGTTGGCAGGACTGCAGCTCCTTTCCACCAAAATCCCTCAAAAATCCTCTCTTCTGCAGGGTAGGGAAGTGCATAAAGATGATTTTGTAGATACTCTAATGCAAATATGCTAGTGAGTGCACTGCACCTCCACTCTTGGTGGGCACTCCATAACTCAGATTCTGAAGACGGCCTTGAAGACTCTGTGATGCGGGTTTTGTAAACCCAGGAAGAGGCCACTGAAGTGTCCTCAGGTTGCTGCACATTGGCCAACCAGGAGAGCAGAGTTGTTTTGGAAGAGACAGGAGGGTCCAAAAGGGCCAGAAGGGAGAGCTACTGCTTTGTCTGGTCCCTGACCCCACGACACCGTGTTGGGAAACATGAGCTGGCCAGTTAGAAGGCTTGTATAGGTCTCACTGGCTTCCCCTTCACCAAGCAACCAAAACCCCACATGCGCCGAACGGTCGCTAAATGGATCAGATTCAAAGAAAGCGACACTGTTGTACTTCAGGCACATCATGGGAAAGCAAGACCCCTTGGGGAAGACAGCGATACCGGGAAAATTTGAAGGAGGAAGAAGTGGAAGGCCAACGAGGAGATGGATTGGCTCCAAAAAAGAAGCCCCCGCCTTGAATTTGCAAATGCTCAGCAGGGATGTTACGGACAGAACATTTTGGGAAACACTCATTCATAGGTCACCCAAAGTGGGAGATGACTCGACAGTGCATAACAAACATAAAACAAAAAACACAGTTCCTTTAGGATGATACACATGTGTGCCAAGACAAGCAACTTTCTGTTCCCAGTGTTACCACCTCCTTTCCATGACCTATGCAAATCAACATCATGGGTGTGAATATTAATATCCTGATCTTCTCCTTCTGTACAATAGAAAACACAGTGGCGAACAATACCCAAAAGAACGGCCAGCCATTAGGAAATCCATTATGGAATGAGTGGTTTCTACTATGAGAACAGCATTGGTCTATTAAGACCTGCATGCTTTGACTGGCAGCAGCTGCCCAGGAAAAAGCAAGGCCACCCCCTGCCACCTGACCCTTTTAACAGCCTGCTGGATCGAGCCCAGTTAGCTCAGGCTGGAGAAGCCAAGCAACAGGGCATATGCTCTTAGTACTGATCCCCAACCCAGGAGGAGAGCACACACACGCAGCAACGGCCCCTACCGTCCTAAAAATGCAGAGCTTATCATGCCAAGAGCAGAGTATCTTTTCTCACCTGCCCCGTTCGGTTCCCCAAGCAAAAGCAACGTGGACACACACAAGGCAGCCCGCAGAGCTTTGTCCATCTGTGCAGAAGTTGTTGCCCCCTGAAGGTGAGCCCCTGTTGGAGAACGATGCAAAACAGGTTATTAGAATTTACTTCACATCTTCAGGAAAATAAAGGGAGCACCGCCACTTCAGAATGCAGATGAGTGCAGATGAATATAGAATACAGATCAGTCATACTGAAAATTCCATGCTTAAAAAAACAAAAACTCTTCTCCGTGCCCAGGGACAACCCTCCGCGAGGAAAATAGCTCTGGCTTTGCTTTCCACCTGCCATGCTAGATTTCTGCATGCAGGAAGACTTTTTAAAAATAGGAACACATTCGAGGCACGCATCCGAAAGCATTTTGGAATGATGCATCTTCAGCAGGATTCACTGTGCGGATTGGTAATGGAGAACTTTGCTCCAAAAGCTAGACTGAGTGCAGCAGGGGTGGTGGGAACACAGCAGGGCTTTGTGGGCTCAAATAAAGAGACGTACAGTTCCCAGAACTCATATCAGAAGGCTGGGAGAGAAAAGAGGCAACACGTGTGTCTTACGGAAGAAGGAAATGGAAAGGAAGTGAAGGAGACTGCAGGGGACATCCTGAACTTCACAAGATCGTATCAAAAAAGAATCAGTGGCACACGCACAAACTCCAGTACCTGAACAGAAAGCGGGCAAACATGAACAGAAATGAAAAGATTAAAACCACATCTAAATTGTAGAATTAAAACCAAGCAGCTACCCAGTGTTCTGCCGCTCCCAGAACTGAATGTGGTTCCAAAAGGAATCTGGGACTGAGCACAGGCAGAAGATAAAAGCTAAATATGCAAGATATGAACTTTTAACCCATGTGAACAAACAGAAGTTAATCACTGGGATTAAACCGAGTCTATTTCCACAGTGTTTAAAATGCGCACGGCAAGGATATGTTCAGGATAATGGTGCTGACTTATGTACAGAACCTGAAATGAATAATGCCAAATAATTTGTGTGAGTTGATGTTTTTATTGCCTTGCATTTGTTAAATGAAATGTTTGTTCCAAAAAAAAAAAAAAAAAAAGGAACACAACTGACCCAGGCATGGTAGGAAACATGTGCCCAGTGATCTATATGGCGAAATCAAGAAACAAAACTGTCAATCCAGTATCAACATGATTCAGAAAGAGTTTGAGGGAATTCTGTCATTTAGGGCATTTTGTTTTGCTAATTCATATATCCTGGGGGGCAATGCGGGTTGGAAGATCCCAAAGAAACTTCACAAGCCTTATCCAAACTCTGTTTCTCATCCCTCAAGACCTCAAGAGAATAACCTCGGCGTACAACACTGGGCAATATTTAGCCAGTTTTTTCCCATCCTTCACTAATGCCTGGAAGCCAAGCAAGCAAGATTTTTAATGCTTAGCCCAGTCTTTAACTTATCTACTTAATCTTAGGAGCGATCAAGGGCCAAAATAGAACAAGCCAACACCTGAGAAATTTCACACCTGAGAAATAGTATTTTCATCCTACATTCATCCAAACTCACTGTCAAGTTTGCCGTGCCAACATACTTTTGAAATGGAGACTTATCTTTTCATAAATCCAGGATTAGAAGGAACAGAGAGGACAATAAAGCTTTGACCAGAGAGATGCATTTTTTGCTGGATTTGGCAGATAGATGAAATGGATGTCTCTAAGCCCATCACATCTCCTTCTAAATAAAGCACTAGTGGGGAATTGTATGGGGAAAAGAAAGAAATTGAAGTGGTAATTATGGATTGAGGATGGTGAGGCAGGGAGCGGACGGACAGGGAAACAGACCCGATAATCTCACTTACAGTTGGCAAGTCCTGGATCCTCAGCCAGACGGCCCTTCGACAGGAGAACCGGCAGCCAAACAGCCCAGCAAGTCAGCCTTTGTGGACTGATCGCGTAAATCAACTGTACAGACCCTCAGGCTTAGAGAAGGAGGAGCTTTGGTGGAGAGGGGGTTTCCAAAAAGGAGAGCGTTGTTTCAGTTCTTAGCTAGGAGAAGAGATAGCTCCACTCCTTCTCAGCACCAGATTTAAGCTAAGGCGCTTGTGCAGTTCGGAGAGCTCTGATGCACATCCCTGGCCACAAAGTCAGGGGGGAACAGTTCTGGCATTGCCCTTTCCCTGGCATGTTAGATTTCTGCATGCATGGATTGTGTGGCTGCAAGAGGGGCTATGCTTGCCTTCAACCGCTGCAGGGCTGTACCACTTTTGGAAAGCATGTCTTGGATCTTGAATGTCGGGGAAGTGGCACTACAATCGCTCTTTCCGTTTCAAGAAAGAGCATGGCATGTAAATAGCACTTACTTTGGTTTCCTCTCCACCTAGTTCTGGGCCAAACTGCGGGAAGGACTGGATAAGCAACCAATGTTTCACTTTTGCCCACCCCTCAAAATTCCCTCTTGGGCTGATTTTGAAAGGGGGGTGCAGGCTGGAGGAGGCCATATGGGGTGCTTGGAGTATGAGGAGCTTTCTCAAAGGCTGAGAAACATTTTTGATGTGGTCTAGAAAGTGTATTTGCTTGAGAGGGGCAGCAATCGAGGAGAAGGTGGAAGGAGGCAGAATTTGGCTGAGCACTGAGGAAGGTCTTCTCGATGCTGTAAAGAAGGCTGCTGTGGAGTCACAGGAAGTGGTGGGAGGTTTTGCTGGAGGGATTTAAGTATCAGGCTGGATGGGTGGTTGTCAGGGGGGTTGTGGTCGTATTATTCAGTCCAGCACCTACACTAGTAGAGAGCAGATCAGAGGTGCGGAACCTATTTTGTCAGAGGGCCGACTTCGGCTTCTGGGCACGCTCTGGGCACGTTCCAGTGGTGGGTGGCCTGAAAGCAAATTGGGAAAAGCAGAAAATACCAGCCGTGCTTAAGCTCAAAGGGTCGACAGGAGAGGGCATGGGACAATAGCAGCTTGGGAAGACCTCGCATGGCACATGCCAGCAAATGCCAGAAATGTGGGCTCTGCTCTGCTTTTTGCTAGAACCCAGAGCCAGGAACAAAAGAAAATAATGATTCAGGGCAGTGGAATTCTGGGGGACCCAGATGGGAAAAAAGACCTCTACTACTCTGTTTTGAAGGCATGGGCGAAGAAAGTCGTATGGTTCACATTTAATGGAAACTTCTCTAATTTTGCACTTTTGCACCATGAACCAAAATTCAGTTATTTTTCAAACTTTGCAGGTCTCCATATTTTGCAGTGGAATTCTCCCATCAAAAAGTGTCTATTAGGGGAAGTGCAAAGAAGGTTTATTAGTGAAAACAACATTTAAAATGCATTCCACTGGGGAAATTTCTTGCAAAAAAAATGTGTTTATTAGCTAAAATAGCCCACAGGGATGTGTTAGAAGAAAGAAACAATTTTCTTCACTTGTTTTTAATTCTTGCTGTTCAAGACAAAATTGGGAACATCCTCCAAGTCAGGGATAAACTGAGCTTGAGACTATTGGGTAGACCCATGTAGGTTGCCAATTAAAAGCTTTGAGTCTTGGTAAGACATGAGAAAGGCAAACCGTTGAGTGAATAAATTTGGCGTATTCTATTGCTTCCTAGCTGAGTACAGAGGCGGAGCCAAATACAGGTGCTGCTTGGGACTGGAATGTGGTATTTGAGACGGGCTGCCCAGGACCCTGTGGTGCTGTGTCCTGAGGAGCCGTGCGCTCTCGGGTTTTAGGTGCAAGGAAACGCTCTCCGGTCCCTCCACTCGCAGCCTTTCAGACTGAGGCTAAATGGTGCTAGACTGTGAGCTGGTGCATTGCGAATATTAATGAGACACGCTTTATTCCAGTGACAATACAGGACAAGTCCCAGCCCATCATACATTCAGTTTTGCCCACTGGCAAGTTTCTTCCAAGTCTTGAATGACATTGCAGGGTCATAGCAAAAGTTACTGCAATTCCCTAGTCGAAAGCGGGGGGAGGGGGGTTCCTTTTCTTTTGCTGTGATGGAGAAGCATTCCGGAAAATACAAATGAACTGACAGAGCAGCGGGGCTGGGCAGGGGCAGATCCGGGGGCAATATTTAAGCTGAATCATAGGCAAAGAATGATAGGATGCATGCCACAGATTTCAAGGGTTCAGATAAGAAAAAAACCCAAATGCTTGCATTCAATACTCACTTTGTGGCCGTGATGGGTGTCTGAAGAAGGATCCTGAGGGAGTGAGGTTCTACCTAGTTGGATGAAAGAAAAAGTCTGGGAATGCCGCGTCCTCAAGATTGCGGATATGAATACAGTGGGAGAGATCTGGCCACTGGATAAAGCAGCACCCACTTCCTGGTCCATCGCTATCTTCTGCGTGCCAAAGATAAGCCCTTCCACCAAGGAGCAATCTCCTTCGAGGCCTTCAGTGGGCCTGTGTCATGGGTCCACCCAGCCAATCTCTCTTGCCTTTTGAGTACTTTTGTGAGCTGCCCAGAAATCCCTGGCACTGCTGCAGCACAGGAATAAAACACAGCGGAACCCTACTTTGACTTCAGGCCCCCAAAAGCAGTTTTCCCCCAATCACTCTTACCTGCAATCCTTTGGAGACAGGTGGACTTGTGAAGCTCAAGGTCTTACACCAAGCCATATTCACTGCTCTTGTTCAATGATATATGATTTAGGATACCTGTACTAATAGCTGTAGGCTGTAACAACTCCAAAATACGAGACACATAAAAGAAAGATAAAAAACAGAAATCAAACATTTTTTTTTTACAGCATAGCTCTAAGGATTAATGAAACCACACGGAAAAGCACTACATTCTTCCTTCTCTACACTCCAGTGCCATAAACACGCCATCTATCTTGATACGAACTCTGGCAGAAGCAGGACGGGGAGGAAGCAAATCTGACCTACAGCTCGGACTGCCTCGCCATCCTCCCAGAAAAGCAGAATAACTGCATCCCCCATGGAGGGTGGGTTGCAGAACCGTGAGGAGGCTGGAGGTAGAGGGTGGAAACACTCATCATACAGGAAAGAAAATGATTTGGGAGGCTCCCATGAGATCGTGCCACCTTAGAGGACCTGCTTTTCAAAAATGAAGATCGATTCACCTGGAAAAATAATACACAATCCTCTCTAGGATTATTCTGCTATGCAGACCAATGAAACACATCAACAATTGCCTTAGTGCACGTCAGGCTATTTGTCCAGCCTGCTCGGTATTTTTAATGCTGCCTGCAAGAGTCCTCCAGGACCTCAAGTCTTTCCCATCCTCTGCTACTCGGACATCATCTTGCTCCCTGGGAGTGCTTGGAACAGAAACCAAGACATTCTTTAAGCAAGACGTGTGTTCATACACCGAGCATCTGTCTTAAAAGCTCACCATGAACTTTTCATCCAGATAAAAAGGAATGGAAAAAGGATAAGAGGGCGGGCAGGAAAACATTTTATGAACATTAAGGAAAAAATGGAGAAGAAGGTAGAGGTTGAACGGGCTTACCTGGTTTGGCATCGTCTTAGGCAAAGCTCCCACTTAACTCAGCAAGACTTCACCCTGTTCATCAGGTTGGAACTATCTTCCCCAACATAATGTTCCTGAGATGTTTTGGACTGCAACTGCCATCGGCCCCAGCCAGCAGGGCAATGGCCAGTAATGCTGGGGGTTGTAGTTCAAAACTTCTGAAGGGTGCCACGTGGGAGAAGGCTGGGTGGAAAGCAAAGTTCAAGCCACACTTACCAGTGGCTGGGACAAAGAGCTGCCAGTGGCACCCCTTGGGAACAGATCGCTTGGATCAGCTTGCTCCATCTTGTCCAGCGACTGTTCCGGTGAACTTGTTAGCTTGAGATGCTTTCTGCCCACGCAAATCAGTGGATTCTGGTAAAACCTCTGAGCAGTCCTTCTGGAAGTGTGCAAGTGACCTTCCCGAGGGAGCCTGTGTTCAATCCACAGGAGTGCCCGGGACTGGCCAAGAGCGAAGCTGGCTCCCAGGAAGGGCATTTCCTCCTGTCCAGCTGTCCACTCCAAGCAACAAAGGGTGAGAGGAGCAGGGAGGGACAGAAGCCTTCTCATGCCTCTCCTCTGGCAGGTAATGTGGATTGGGCCCAGGGAGAGAAGTCGGCAAGGTTCGCACTACACAGGGGGAAAGGTACAGTGTGTTTCCCCTGCAAAAACCTGAACGTGGCTGGTTGGATTTTGCAGGGAGGGATCTTTTGCAGGGAGAAACCTTTCCGAGAAAGCGAACCTTGCAAAGTTCTCTCTCCCGCCCTCATACTGGGGAGATCCAACTTGGAATTATTAGTCAGCCACGGGACACACAGGGTGACAGAGAGGGTCCTCTCGATGTAATATCTCTAATGGTTATTGTGAGGATAAAAATGGAGATGGAGAAAGCCCCCTCCAACTACTTAAAGGAAAGGCATGCCATCAGCACACAACAACAGAGAAATTCATATGCTTTTTCTAACAGGAGATGGACCGATCTGAGACTCTTAGGTTAAATAATCTTTATTTTCAGCAGTGTCAGCTGGTTTTACAAATAGACTTTAAATTATTTGCAATATATAGAGAAGAAATGTTACAAACAAACCACCCACAACAAAAAAATCAACCCTCACCCCAAACCCCCGTTTTCCTCCCCTGCAAGTCACATTGAACAAGGGCTGAAAACTGAAGTAGAATTTATTTTCATTTTTCAATGCCTGTTGATACATTCTCCCTCATTTTCTTCCCCAGTAAAATATACATCAATAATAATAAATGTTAATGATAGGAAAGGGGGCATGAACACAAACATTTTTAAAAAGAGGTTCTTCCATTTAACTCCAAACAGAGTTAACGTCTAATTTTCTGTATATAAAAATGTATTTTGCCTGGCAGTGCAAAAACAGACAAAGAAACTAACCGACTGACTGGAAGAAGTCGTTCTACAGGTGCTGTGATTTACCACTGAATCTTCAAAGTACCGTGAAAATTTCTCAATTTAGCCAATGTTGATGGAAGCACAATGACATTTTCAGTGCTAAATCAAGGAGATGGAGAAAAGCGCCTGTTTGGTTTACTGGCTACCTGAGCCCCTTTCCTGGAATAAGCAGTTAAAATGGGAAAGAACCACTGAAAGAGATTTAAGTTAGACTTTGCTGAGCCGTGCAAGTCTTTCTTTTTGCAGTCCTCACCCGATCCGGCTAATGCCCAGAGCATTAAATGAGATCCCTGTGGAACGTGAGCTTCGCAACGTCTGAGCTCAGCTTTTGGAATGCTTTCACCCTTCCCAAGTGTCACCACATACCTGGCTGCTCAAAAAAGGTACGGTTGTGTTTGGAGAGAGAGTATGCTTAGCAAAGTGTGTGCTGAGAGAAAATAAATCGAATGGCGTTTCTGTGCAAAGGAAAGCAGATTATTGATCTGGACATGAGATGAGACGGACTCAAGGAGACTGTACGGGAGAGTGACCTGGATCAGTTGCTCCGAAGTGCCAAGCGGGATGCAGCGTCTGTGTGCTGCTGATTTTCCCATCTCCCACATTTGGTCACCTGCTCAGGCACAGGGAGGAGAACTTTCTGGCTCACAGGAGCTGGAAGAGAAAGCTGGTGGAGAAGGAGAGCAACAGGGAAACAGCGATGCCCTGCTCGATACCTCAGTGACTCATTCAAATGACCAGCGATGCATGTGAAGTTCCCCCAAGCCAAAGTCCAGAATGATTTTGGGGGATGTGAAAAGAATCATAGAATAGCAGAGTTGGAAGGGGCCAAGGAGGCCACGGGCTCCAAACCCCTTCTGTCACAGGGCCGCCATTCACCCTGTCAAAGGGGGCTTAAACACCCAGCGATTTCCTAGCTGAAAATGTCAACCGGAGTGGAGATTGCTCCCAGCTTCTGACCCACTTCTGCTCCACATGCACATCCCCGGAAACCTTCCCCATCCATTTCCCTAGGAAAGATGCCCCCCACCCCCCATTCCAAAAGAGACAGAAGTGGCAGGGGGAGCAGTGGCCACTGAAAGGGGCAATGGAACCTGGGGGCTGTTTAGCTCCCCCCGTCTGCTGTGCCCTCAGGACACCCACTGGGAGAACTACATCTCCCATGGGCAACAGGGCTCTGTCACTAGAGAAGAGGGAAGAAACGGGCAAGGGCACCCCTTTCCTGCTTGCCCTGTGATCCCGCGCGCTTTTTCCACAGGGTGGGGGCAAGGGGATCAATCAGACTGTCTGAGAAAGCTTCTGCAGAAGCGAGGGAAAGGGGCTGGCTATTTTCCCCCCCAAGCTCCTGGGACTGGCTCGGAAAAAAAATTATCTGATTCTTCCCCCAAGGCTTTTCTTCTCGGGAAAAACAGGATATCTAACTAATCAACCTGAGCTAACTGCGAAGGAGCTCCGAAAGCTGTCTAAGTGTTTTCTAGACTGCCCACCCTATTCTTTTGCGTCGGGGGATCTTTAAATACTTGTTTGGAAGCCAACACTGTGGTGCCGGGACAGACCACGGGGCAGAAAACACCTCGATTCTTTGGATTCAAAACACGAAGAAAATAGTTGCACAAGCCGACATCAAAACAAGTACATCTGATTTCCAAACTGACGAGACTGCCAGGTTTTACCTTCGAAATGGCTGGATACAGATGCTTTGTTCTGCACCCCACTGCTCAGCAAAGGTTGCAGCCCAGCTTCTAGCATCACAGAGAATCCCCGGATTCTCCCAGGAGATGAAGGACACCTTGATCTGGGTCGCAGGCTACAGTATAGCAGCAGTCACTTGGCAAACGAAGGTGTGACTACGGCGTGGGACGTGGGCAGCACCAAAGGAAGGACCGCTAAAGCAACTCGGAGATCCAGACCGAATGCACCGGCAGAACCACATCAAACTGCCCCGGGGCTTTGACAAACCTCGCCTGTGCCCTTCCGACCTTACCACCCCTCCTCTTCCTTGGCCAGGGGCCAATTGAGATCAGCTCAGCCATGGGAAAAGCCTCTGTGGGTGAGGCTATGGGGAGACAGGCTACGGGGAGAAAGCCCCAGGGCCCTGTTGAGCAAAGGTGGGCTGTTGCGGTGACAGGGGGATGAACGAAATGCAGGTGTCCATCAACATCGGCAACGGCCTTTGGATTGTGCCACCCCTCCCAGCCTTCTGGAAAAGAAGCAGCTGTCCCTCATCGAACAAGCTTGGGCTCTTTTGCACCTTCCGAACACTGCTTTGCATTCCCGAACTGAAATCAGGCGGGAGCGGCTTCAGCGAGAATGCCAAGGCAGCTCAGGATGGCATTGCCAAGCTTGTCATGTCTCGGGCACTCCGTCTCACCAGGATTGTAGTCCGGGAAAAAGAGGGATTAACGGTCGTGCAGATCCTTGGGCATGCTTTCCAGGGAACACGGTTAATGGGGGGATCTTCCCAGGTTCTGTTCCCTTCCCAGGAAAATGACTCTCGCCCATTCCCCATATTACATGCTACAGGTTGCATTATTAATAGTAGTATTCGTATTAGTTTTCTCACACACACACACACACACACACAGACACACAGACACACAGACACACACTGTCCTGTAGAGACTGGAAGGAGGGGGGGGAAGCACGATCCCTTGAACGAGCGTCTTCTGCACCACGTGCACCTTTTTTAAAAAAAGTGGTTGTTCGTTTTGTTGGTTTTGCTCTGACAGGAATGTAAACATCGATCTCGGTCAGCCCTTCCCAGCGTTACAGTTTGAACAGAAAGATGACTTCGGCGTCGCGGTTCAAGTCAGTTTGGTGCTTGAGTGGGGTTGTAAACAGACTGGGGGAAGCCGCGTCCCCGCAGGCCCCTCCCGGCAAGCAGCAGGCTCCTTCGGGGTTGCCCCGCTCCTCGATGGGCCCCCCCCGGCTCAGGGCCAGGCTCTGCAGCCGCTGCCTCTCCTGCGCTTGCTTGGCCCGGTTGGCGATGTAGCGCACCCTGCTCTGGCTCCTGGAGGAAGACCGCCGGAGGAGGCCCGTCCCCTCCTCCTCCTCCTCCTCGGACTCGTGGGGCTCGAGGCTGGTTGGGGAGGTGATGTCGCCCTCCTTCTGGAAGGTGGTCAGCCTCCTCAGGCGCTCCGCCAGCCCGTCCGGGGGCTTGGCCGGGGACCGTGTGGCTGCGCCGTGGCGCTGCTCCCGCATGGACCGGGTGATGAAGCTCCGGCTGATGCTGCGGTACTTGCTCTCGAAGGGGCACGTGATGTCGTCGGAGGTCAGGTCGCCAAGGCTTTTCGACTTGGCCTGGCTGGGCTCAGCCTCCTCCCGGACTCCGGACCTGAGGCAGGACTGCCTGAGGCTCTCCATATACAAGCGGCTCCAGGTGTGTCTCCTGGGTATGGACGGTGAGCCCTGCTTGAGGAATCCAGCTAATGGCCTCGGGCACAGCTCGTCCTCCATGGGCTGCCCCGACCTCAGGTTGGGGTTGGACTTGCTTTTCGTCACCAGGGGCATTTCCCCCCTCGAGGCAGCGTTAGCTGACCAGGGGCGCACGCCTCTTCTCCCAGGGCGGGCGTCAAAGTTCTCGTGCTGAGCTTCCAAGTCTGGGAGGCTTTTCCGAGCAAGGTTGGGCATGGAAAGATCTATGACGGTGTCATTGGAGGACATGCTGGAGGAGGAAGACATGCTGTCCCTGTGGCTGTTGGTGTCGAGCTTGCTCCAGATACGGTCGTTGACGGTGGCATCTGAGTAGACCTCGGCTGCCGGAGAAGAGCCATTGAGATGCCTCATTGAGACGGAACAGTCACAAAGTTTGTACCCATCGCACTTCGACCTCCTTGCTATCATGCGACACACGGGGACTGCGGCGTCTGGAGCTCCTTGGGGAGATTTCTGAGGTGAGCTTGGAGGCATGTTGCGTCTCACATCTCTTTGGTGTGGCTGCCCAGCTGCGGCGCCACCCTTCTCAGTTCTCCCAACATTCCTCCGTTCTAGAAGCACCCCATCTCTTTGCTTCGGACCAGTTCTGGCGGAATAGAGCCAAGGGTTGGCCAGCGCTACATGGTCCTGAGTTGGTGAGCCAGGCAGATCTGCACTGCCCTGTGCCCCTTTCTGTCCGGCGCCGTCTTCTCTGCTTGTCCCAACATCCCCCCATCCCTGGACACTTGCAAAGGTGGGGCGGGTTGCAAGGAACCTGCTCTCCCTCGTCACTGCCACGGCACGTTGCAGAAGAGGAGGTCTCTCAAAGGGACCATCTGGACCATCTGCATAGGAATAATCGGGCCCAGGTCCTTCTTCAGAATCACCGGCAGGGGAGGTGGGCAGAGGAAAGCAAGAGCTGGTGGGCTGGTTCTCGTTGGCAACAAAGGGTTCTTCACTGATGGTCTCCAGGCTGCATAATGAAGGGATGGACCTCTGCATTGAGCATTGGCGGACGTCTGTGGGGGAAGGAAACCCGCAAATGTGAGCACAGTCAATCAGGGATGGATTTCTTTATCTCCCTTGCGTTAGGATCCTACTTGGTCTAAACCTATTGTTGAGAACATCTGGACAGACTGGATTATTCTTGCGTCTCCTGAACCTTTTTCACACAAGGAAGGGGAAAGGGAGTGCCCAGATCCTCCGGCCCACCTTGGCCACCTGTACTCCCAGGGCTAGCATCCAGCTTCCACCTCCATGCAGGGGAGCCACACAGATTTTAAAGACTCACTTCAAAGAATCAGCCACACAGTCCCTGTAACAATGGAGGTGGACACTGGATGATTTGCCTGTCTCGACAAAGATGGGGACGGGGTGCCAAACAGGCAGGGGGATGGAGGTCCCAGCCAGACCATCCTCCTGAAATATGAGGCATCCGAAAGAACCAGAGTCACTTGCCTCGCCATGTACCAGTTTAAAAGGGGCGGTGCTCATCTCTGTTTCACACAAGTTTTGAACTAGCCAAATGAGCCATCCTTAGGATGGCTGGGTCTGGTACGAACGGATTCTCCTGGAAAAGCAGCACAGCTCTCTGCCATAGCCTCACTGCAGGCATGCGCCTCCCTCTTCTGGGGAGTCCCCGAAAGAAGAGTCTGGCTCCCTTTGCTACTTCTCTGAAGAGCGCGGATGTTCCTTAGTGCCCCTTCGGCAAGAGAGGAAGGGCTGAGCCCCTTTCGCTGGAGGCCAGCACACACTGCAGGAAGGAGGGTGTCTCCTCCCCTAGGTACCTGCAAAGGTGCAGCTGTGGTGGACCAAGGAAAGGGAGAGTCATAGGACAGTAGAGTTGGAAGGTACCCATTAGACCACTGGCTCCAATCCCTTGCCCAACGCACGACTCCAGGTTGATCCACCCTAACTGATGGCTGCCCATCTACCTGTTGAAGGTGCCCAGTGTGGGAGAGCCCACAAACTCCCTAGGCCAAGGGTCCCAGTGTTGCGTTGCTCTGAGGGCCAAGAAGTTTCTCCTGGTGTTCTGCCAGAAGCTGGCATCCTATCACTCAAGCGGGAGGCGTTCCCACCGCAACATTGCAATGTTCTGAACCTCTGCTTCACAGGAGGGAGAAGACAAGGCGCTTCTAGACAAGCTTCCAGTTGGGATTGATACATACACAAGCTTCTGCACATTGGTTTCGTTACGCAAGCACAAACACATGCATGCACAGAACCTTGGCGCGATATGCATGAGTACAAGCCCATCAAAATGTCAACACTTTGCATCCACGATCCTCTGTACAAATTTGGCCTTATTTTTTTTTTTTAAATGCAACCTCCATTGCAGAAGCAAGCCCAGGAAAACTGGACCTGCAAAATCCAGGATCACGAATTTGGGTGCTGAGAATTTCCAGGGATGAGTCAAGTGTTAGTATTTTGCAGAAAACTCAGATACACGGGGGACACACGCATGCAGAGGCATGGTGCAGTGAAACAGAGATGTTTGCAGAAACATTTGGGCACTGTTCATGCCCAGGGGTGTGTGCCATGTGTAGCAGGAAGAGGTCTGCATCTTTTATGCTGTATAAAGTAGGATATACCAAGCTGAGGAAGGGGCTGAGGAAGGCAGCCAATCCTCCTGGAACCCCAAAGCAAATTGGAATCATGCGTGGGATATATTGGGAATGTAAGCGAAGACTCGGAAGGGGAAACGCTGAGCATTAATTGAAGTGCCAAACAGAAATGAGGGAAAACCAGGCAATATTGAGCACTTAGACGCTCAGTGCTGAAGAGTTACCTGTAACTCGTTCATCCTTTCAGTTCTTAACTACAGAGACAAGAGTATGCATGTGGAATAGGACAGAACAGAGGAAAAAAAATCAGTTAATTCTGGGCAGGCCAGAACAGGTAAGGGATAAATTAGTAAGGAGAAGCAGGGTCAGAAAAGGGACTGGAACAAGCAGCCTGTAGGATTCTGAGATTTCTTTTTCAACCAGGTGTGCCCCAACCAGGAAAATGGTAGGGGAGGAATTAAAAAAGCAAACCGACAAGCCCACTCTTCCAGGCATAAGAACAAGACCCTAACCTTCAAGTTGTGAGGAAGAGATGCTTGGAACTAGTTCTTCCTTCTGAATTTGGCATGTAAGGCTGTGAACATGGCAGAAGGGTTTGGTTAAATGTCCCAGTGGGCAGATGGCGTCAGTTTTGATACAGAGCTCAGCCACCTGAGGCTACAAAGCAGGGGTGTTTTTAATAGTAAAATTTTCTGGCTGCCAGAACACATATTTTGTATAAAACAGGGACACTGGACATCCTTACAATACAGGGCAATCCAGTGGATGTTTACTCTAAAGTAGTCCCATGGAGATCACTGGGACTTCATTACTGGCTGAATGTAATATAGCACTGTAGCCATAGCCTGTAATCCTATGCACACTTACCTGGGAGTAAATACTATTGAATACAGTTGGGTTTAAATCTGAGTAGTGGTGCTCAGAAATGCACTGTATGTCTATTTGAGACAGACAAGAGAAAAAGGAGGGGGTGTGTAAAAGCAAGTTCAGATCACCAAATCAATTGGCTAAAATGGAACAGCCTGAAACAAGGCAAATATTAATTGAGCTGCGTTGAAAGGGGCTAAAGGATGTTTGTGAAACTTCTGGCTGTTCTCAAAAGCATCCTTTCCTTCAGGGAATCAGCCACCAGTTGATCTGAAGAGGAGCAGAAGCTTTCCCTCTGATCAGACTGATGCCAATGGGAATCTAGGAAAAATATTAAAAAATAACTTCATAAAAATGACTTAAATAAATAATTTTGGTGTTTAGCATCGTCGCTTGTGGAGTCCAACTGGCTGTGTAGGGTTGTGATGTTGTCATCTTACCTCAAGAGCCACCAGCAAACAATGGCATTGCAGGAACAAATATTTTGGGAAATCCTGACAGGGAACAGACCCAGTGGTCTGGCCTCTGGAGTCCCACCTCTGAGACGGTGCTGGAACTGGGACTCCAGATATGGCCTCCCAGACTATGAAACAAAATGGAAGTAAATCAAACCCAAGAGAAATGCTATCCAATGTCTGATCTAAGCCCAAACAAAGAGAAGTATCTTATGGGGTCTTGAAACGATAGCTTAATGTCTGTGCTCAATCTTTACGTGGCAAATGTCCAAATAGCTAAACTAAAACCATCAGTGGAGATACTAAGAGTAAATTCTTTCCCCCTTTTTGTACTGGAATATCAACACGATACACTGGTTGAATGCAAAACAAATCTTAGAATCAGAGTTATGCAATGCATGATTTAGAACACAGGAGGCAAGAGATGGAGGAGAGAGGGCGAGGGAGAGGGAGGCTCCAGAAATCTACAGAAGGTTTGCTACAGAAGATGGACTGACATACAGAAGAAACAACTGCTCGTCTAGACTGGAGGCATCTAGAGTGGAGAAAGCTCTGAACAGGTGTATGAACACATGATTCTATGGTTGCTCCCGCTGCCCTGACCCCAACAAAAAGCAAAAATGGCAAAATTAAAAGCTCAACTAAATGGGGAATGCAGGTCAGGGTTTCTAAAGGGAAACTGAAATGACAAGATGGTCTACAGCCAAGGGATGGGTGAAGAAGATCTGGTCTTACCAGTAAAGAATATGGGAGATTTACTCCGAATTTCCTCCATTTTTTCAGCAAACAAGGCATTCATTTCCCTCTGAAGGGTGCCCGCCTGTTTTCTGGAGCTCTCAGACCAACGCTGAGGGAGGTTGGGACTTCCAAGGCTCTCCAAGCTGCTGGAGTTGGAGGATATGGAGCCATTGCTGGTAGTCACCAAGTTGACGGTGCTTCCGTATTTGCCACCGGGCTGGCCCTGCCACCGTGGCCGGGAAGGCCCTTTGAGCCCATGACTTTTGGAATCACCGGCTTTCTTCCCTGAGGACGCAAAGGGCTGGCGAGTCCTGGGAAGGCTACCGGCAGCCCCGTAGCCAATGCACAGATGCAGATCTGACTGCGACCTGGGCTGCTCTTGGATCCCCCAATTTCTTAGCTCTAGCCTCTCCTCGTCTCCCGCCGGGCTGCTATACCGGCCGCAGGGGGGCGCATCGTGAGGAGCAGGCCCTGTGGTAGGATGGTCACTCTCCTTGCAATCTAGATCCGGGCTTCCACTCGAGCCAATCATGCACTTCATGCAGTTGGTGGCCATGCCAATCCTACCGGATCCATTGATGGCACAGCGGGCAAACACACCCTGCTTCTCGCTCGGAGGCTCCTGCAGCTGGACCCGGTTGGACCTCCGGACGGGCTCACTGAAGGTCGCGTCCCTGTGTGCACGGCCGTGGCCGGCTTGGCCTTTGCCAGAACTGTGGGCCTTACCTTTCAACCCCTTGCTTTGAGCCTCCCGGTTGGCACCGTCTCTGAGAGAAGGTGCCGGGGAAGCACATTCTGGCTCTTGGTCGAAACGAGGATAAGAGGATTCTTCGAGTTCATGGTCTTCTCCAGCCCCCTCAGAGCTGTTGTCTCTGCCATCCATCATCATCTCGGGAAAGCCCTTCTTGGTTTTCTTCTGGGTCTTAGTGGGCGCGCTGGCCGTCCGCCGTAAAAGCTGGCTGCTAAAGGAGTGTTTGCGGTTGAGTTGGCCAGCAACATGACTGTCGAGAGATGCCTGCTTTGGATTTCTGAGAAACAGACCTTTTAAGCCCAGAGCTTGCTTGGCCTGGAAGAGATAAAAAAGTCCCCGTAACAGGAGATGTGTATGTCACCCCCCAGCGTGCAAAGACACAAATGTTATCCATGTGCAAGGTGTCATTGACCTGGTGGGCAGCACCATCTATCCAGGGCTGACTGGAAGACTGAATTAGGAGGAAGCGATGAAGTGCACTTTTGATTCAAGATTTGGCACGAGTCCCACGCTGCTCATTTCCACCACTCTGCTCTCCCCGCCCCCTCGCCATTTTGTCCCAGCTCGCTTCCATGCGTAATCAGGAATCCGGCATGCAGGCTCCCGTGTTCACTGAGAAAGCTGTCCCGCCAGTTTTGGTGGGGCTGAATTCCTACTGGTGCGGCTGGGGCCACTCACTGCTGGGGATGGAGGACAGTGGACGAGACACACCCGCCATTTTGCAGAGTGGTATGGCGGCTGCTTTCATGGCCAGAGGTGGAGCTAACATGCCTCCCCAGTGTCCCCTGGGAGGGGAGACCTGGTCCTGCTTTTCCCATTGCTGACTCCTGTCCTGCATGAGTATCTGGCATCAGGGCCTTCAAGGATAACGAGTTACCATTCTATCCCACACTTCCTGCTCCAAATGGAGACACACTTTGTCAACCTCCAGTAAATATCAGCCACACCTTTTGGCCCTAAATTGGAACTGAATGGTCAACAAGCTGGAGAAACCTTCACTAGGCAGAGGAACCCCCCAAACCTCACCACATGCCACAAAGCCCAATCTGGAAGGCTTGGGACAACAGCTGCCATCTTGGCTCTAAGTATTTGAAAAACAGGGACGTTATCCAGCCACTTTAGCTAGAAAAAGGGACATTGTTGATCAAGCACTTGGAAGTAAGGTCCATCAGGTTCCATGGAATTTACTCCCACGTTGATGCATAAATAGTTCAGCCCAATGGTGAAGTCCATGCTGTAAGACCAGGATCCTTGGGCAAACGAGACAGGATGACCTTGCCCAGTTTTGGGCAATCCCAATGCTTGGTAGGTCCCCTACCCCACTGGAGAGATTTGGAGATGGAGAGGGAAAGGGAGTAGGGAGGGCTGGCTTCAGGAAGAGCATTGGAACATCTTTCGTATGACTGTCAACTATTTGTGCCATGTTTCACTCAATGGCTTCTATTCTATTCACTCTTCAGTGGGGCAAAGCTGCATTGGCCTCAGAGGAGCCTATTTCTAAGCAAACATGCCTAGGATTTCTCTGCAGAACACCCCCGGAGAGCAGAGGGAGGGGAGAGGAGGCTGAAACAGGGAATACGTTCTTCCACTGACGTCAGTGTGCTTAATTTTGGCTAGAAGGAGCCTTCCATCATGGTTTTCCTAGCAACCTCTTCCACCAAATTATACACATGTTCATAATTTAAATATTGGCATGCACAAATTCATTTTGAAAGCACTAAAAGCACTGGAATCAGTTTCTCATGAAATACTTCTTTCTTTCATTTTGCAAGCAACTTTGGTTGAGGTGAAATGACAGTTGGGTAGAAAGTTCCACCTGAACTTCAGTTGCCACAGTATTTCCCCTATCGTGAAACTGAGAACAACAATTTTCTGGCATGTGGGAGGGTTATTCTTGCTAGGCAAAATCTCTGCATATTTTCCACGGAAATAATTAGGGGATGAGAAGGTTTTGCACATCCCTAAATAGATCAGCATTTGAGTGGACAGCAAAAGCCTTCCATTGCTAAGCAAACAAACTCCAGAACTGAGCCCGCCTCACTACAAAATGTTGAGACCTCGGAATGGGTATCCGGAAAGGGCAGAGATCAGTGGTGGTGTGTGATGAGAAGCCCCCTTGGAAAAAATACTCCAAGGGTCTCTTCACATGCACCTCACAATGTTTAGCTAATGGAGTTCATTGGCTGAGCAAATTTGTAATGCGTAGCTATTACTGTATGTGGTTATCCTTTCCACACTGCAAATATTAGCAAGATCTTAAAATACGCATCGTTGTGTCCCCTGTGCAATTCCTTGCAGATAAGTCTTGAAGAGGAGCCCCAGCAATTCCATCCCCAACCCCATTTGGCATTCTGTGAAATGGAAGTTGGTCATAAATCGTAAATTTTTGGACACTTGACACAAATTTGAGAGGAGAATTATTACCGCATGGTACCGGCATTCACCCTGTTTTCCCTTCTTACCCTGTTGCTTCCATCCCTGGTCAAACAATTATTTCTTCATCCAGCAAATTCTCTTCCTCGGGCCCCACTGAAGCCTTCCCCAACCGGTGCCTCAGGAAACTTGGAGTACGACTCCCATCAGTTCCAGACAGCATGGGCAATGTCCAGAGATTATGGGAATTCTAGCCCAAAACACCTGGAGGGTGCCAGGTTGGGGATAGCTGTCTAGAAGGCAGGTGAATCCTATCCCTTTCTTAAGGTCTATAGGAAGATTAAAATATATCAACCGATAGCATGATCCTATTCAGGTCCACAGAAAGCTCCATTCAGTTCAATGGAGTTTAGTCCTAGGAGAGAGTATAGGATTGCAGCCTAGGCTAATGAATCTTTCGCCAAATGGATGGCAAGCTATTTCTGGTACGGCCCAGGCAGAAGGTTCCCGAATTTGTGTCGTGTTGGCAAATGCATATAATGACAACCGAGATGTTCATCAGGTCCCATGCCCCAACCATTCAAACCCACTTCCAAAATTCAGGGGGAAACCTCTGTACACAAACACACAGATAGCGGGGGGTGCCCCTTACAGAGAAATAAACCCGTGGGCCCCCCTGATGGAATGGGGTGATGTGGGGTGAAGATTCCACCAGTTCAGTTCATTTCCATCACTTGATGCATCCCCCCTGCATAGTAAGGCTCAGCTAGTAAAGCTTGAATCAAAACAAGCGATTCAAGAACCCAAATCCAGTGCAAGTTTGGTTGGAAGAAAAGGGTGCCATTTAAGAAGAAGATCCAGCATACATTGCTGCTGTCAATTTGCAAAAAAGCAGCAACCTCAGATAATTGGGTTCTCCAACACACACAGATCAAAAGAAATTGGCAATGGGTCTCTTTGTACATCTAACGGTTGGTTTCCTCAAAACATCCTGAGCATATTTAGGTTAAAAGGACTTCAAGACGAGGAAGCAATTTCCCCCTTCCAAAATTGGTAGGTGGCATGACGGAAGGGATTAGAGGAAACGATTGACAGGGGAAGAGCAATGGAGAGATTTTAAAAATGGGGGTGGGAAGACATGAATTTATCCTGGATCTGCTTCATAAATGCAGAGCACTTTGGTAGTTCGATGGCCCAGCAAACGTTCCAAGAAATGTGGCAGTCCATGTTATGAGTGGAAGAACTTTTTCTCAGGAGAAAAAAAAAAATAACACTAAATGAGGAAAAGGCACCAAATAGTAACGATGTCGTAGGTTAGAGAAGCATGCAAGCGTGTTACTAGGAGCACACTACCCCTTGGTGTGTCAGGAGGGGGGGTACCTTCAAGGCGTCTAAATTTGCTCTGCTTCTAAAAGGAGACTTTTTTTGACACAGAGAAGTCCACTGAAATCACAAACAGACAGAAGTAAAAGGCAGAAAGTGAGACACGGAACATCGAGCCGATTCTGCAAGAGATATAGGCAACATCTGGGAGAAAGGGCAGCAGAAAAACCACGGATGAGAAATTCGACAAATAGCATGGAAATTGTACGAGAGAGAGAGAGAGAGAGAGAGAGAGAGACAAAACAGGTAGGTGAGGTCAAGTGGAGCAGCACAGTTTAGAAACTAAAATTAGGACTTTGAAAGTGAAATAGCAAGGCTATGATTCCCCCGGAGTTCAGAACACTGCACTGGGGACCAAGATTCAGCTTTCTGGGAAGCACCATTTGTTTAGTGTGTTTTGCTATGTTTCTAGCCCTCCTTGTGGCAGAGGAGCTTGGAGAATTTGCAGGCAATACACAATTGCATCTCCAGAGCCCAAGGAAATTGTCGAGGATGAATATTGGGACCCATCCACTATAGCCAACAGCAGCAGCAGAGGAAAGAGGGCGAGCAGGAGTGGCAAAATAAATTACGCAACCTAAGAGACATTCTGCACTCTGGCCTGGTTGGCAGGATTTATGCAGATTGCAAAATGTCATGATTACGATTCATAAGAAACACACAGAGCACAGTTCTTAATCCGGCAGCTTCCACACACAATGGCAGGACAATTTTTGGTTCAGAAACGGTTTAGTCCATAAACGCAGGAAGCAATAAGAATGGAGAGGTTGTTAGAGGGCAGGACAGGGGACTCAGTGGATCTGGGTTCAAGTCCCACCTGGCCATGAAGCTTAGGGGGTGACCTTGGGGCAGTCACTGATGCTCAGCCTGGCCTACTTTGCAGGGTTGGAGAGATGTGGTTATATTATCCATAAAAAAGGATAACCGAGGGTATATTGGGGCATCTCAGTAACGCTTCTGTTCCCATATCCCTGCAGGAGAATTTACAGAGTCCCTTCATTCCTTTCAGAATGGTAAACTGGTTAAAAACCGTGCCATTGGTAAACAAGTAGGAAAATATATGACTCTTTTTCCGGTAGCAGAACAGACAGGTGATATTTATTGAGTTCAACAAGACACTGTCTTCCTCCCTTCCCCAAAGTGATCTACATTTATAAAGTACGTGGGAGAGAACTCGCATTAATCAGATGCTGCTCTCTACCTTTGTTTAATCTTTGGTGCTATTCATTAAGCGGGGATATTTAATGCATCATGAACTGCATATCCTTTTTGTAGGCTGCATCTGTTCTCAACCCGCTAATGAAATAGAACGTAGCTGCCGCAGCTGGGGAGAAAGCACGTGAAGCCAGAGAAGGGCTCAGAATCCGCTCCTTCCCCAGAAGGCTTGGTGTGTCTGTCCACACAAGTTAGCAGCGGCAGGATATGGCCCTTCTTTTCCCACTGGGTCTGGTTTGTGCTCCAGCAACAACAGTCGAACGGGGCCAGCTTCAGCAGAAAGGTGGCCCCCCACCATCTGCAGGCCTCTTTCTGATCTTTCTCCTGGACCCTATTGTATGAAC